GCAAAATGTTATAGTCATTGTGCTGTTGGCAAAATGTTATAGTCATTGTGCTAGTCATTGTGCTGTTGGCAAAATGTTAGTCATTGTGCTGTTGGCAAAATGTTATGGTCATTGTGCTAGTCATTGTGCTATTTGCAAAATGTTATAGTCATTGTGCTAGTCATTGTGCTGTTGGCAAAATGTTATAGTCATTGTGCTGTTGGCAAAATGTTATGGTCATTGTGCTAGTCATTGTGCTGTTGGCAAAATGTTATGGTCATTGTGCTAGTCATTGTGCTGTTGGCAAAATGTTATAGTCATTGTGCTGTTGGCAAAATATTATAGTCATTGTGCTGTTGGCAAAAAGTTATAGTCATTGTGCTGTTGGCAAAATGTTATGGTCATTGTGCTAGTAAATTGTGCTATTTGCAAAATGTTATAGTCATTGTGCTAGTCATTGTGCTGTTGGCAAAATGTTATAGTCATTGTGCTGTTGGCAAAATGTTATAGTCATTGTGCTGTTGGCAAAATGTTATGGTCATTGTGCTAGTCATTGTGCTGTTGGCAAAATGTTATGGTCATTGTGCTAGTCATTGTGCTGTTGGCAAAATGTTATAGTCATTATGCTGTTGGCAAAATGTTATAGTCTTTGTGCTGTTGGCAAAATGTTATAGTCATTGTGCTAGTCATTGTGCTGTTGGCAAAATGTTAGTCATTGTGCTGTTGGCAAAATGTTATGGTCATTGTGCTAGTCATTGTGCTATTCGCAAAATGTTATAGTCATTGTGCTAGTCATTGTGCTGTTGGCAAAATGTTATAGTCATTGTGCTGTTGGCAAAATGTTATAGTCATTGTGCTGTTGGCAAAATGTTGGCAACAATATATATTGTTGGCAGTGTAAGTTTGACAAAATATGGTTACTAGTGAATCAACCTTATGGAAGTTTGGTGACTTATGACTTTATTATATAAAGTTATGCTATTTATTGGTATTAAAACTCCTTCATATCTAACAATTCCTGACTATGTAGGTAACTATGACTCAACACATGAACTTGGCGGCCAGGCTAGGGTACGGTTGTAAAATATGGTCCTATTGTTGGCCACTTTTCTGTGAATAACTTTATTGTATGTTGGTATGATACGATCTTGATGGCATTTCTAAGATCTTGATTGATAGCCAAACTAAGATCTTGATAGCCAAACTAAGATCTTGATAGCCAAACTACGATCCTGATGACCACACTAAGATCTTGATGGCCAAGCACTGATATTGATGGCCAAACTAAGATCTTGATGGCCAAACTAAAATCATGATGCCCAAACTAAAATCTTGATGGCAATTCTAAGATCTTGATGGCCAAACAAAGATCTTGATGGATTTGTTAAAACCTTGCTGGCCTTGTATTTGCTGTCATGTGAGAGATTTACCTGGCAAACATTCAATCAAACTAGAAAATCCCAGATTAGCCGATATTCGTATCCAGCTTAAGTGTTTGACATGTGTCAATGAAATGTTTGGGACACAGTCAATGAGATTAGCAACATCCTTGTAGTGGCAACTCAGGACACAGTCAATGAGATTAGCAACATCCTTGTAGTGGCAACTGAGGACACAGTCAATGGGATTAGCAACATCCTTGTAGTGGCAACTCAGGACACAGTCAATGGGATTAGCAACATCCTTGTAGTGGCAACTCAGGACACAGTCAATGGGATTAGCAACATCCTTGTAGTGGCAACTCAGGACACAGTCAATGGGATTAGCAACATCCTTGTAGTGGCAACTCAGGACACAGTCAATGGGATTAGCAACATCCTTGTAGTGGCAACTCAGGACACAGTCAATGGGATTAGCAACATCCTTGTAGTGGCAACTCAGGACACAGTCAATGGGATTAGCAACATCCTTGTAGTGGCAACTCAGGACACAGTCAATGGGATTAGCAACATCCTTGTAGTGGCAACTCAGGACACAGTCAATGGGATTAGCAACATCCTTGTAGTGGCAACTCAGGACACAGTCAATGGGATTAGCAACATCCTTGTAGTGGCAACTCAGGACACAGTCAATGGGATTAGCAACATCCTTGTAGTGGCAACTCAGGACACAGTCAATGGGATTAGCAACATCCTTGTAGTGGCAACTCAGGACACAGTCAATGGGATTAGCAACATCCTTGTAGTGGCAACTCAGGACACAGTCAATGGGATTAGCAACATCCTTGTAGTGGCAACTCAGGACACAGTCAATGGGATTAGCAACATCCTTGTAGTGGCAACTCAGGACACAGTCAATGGGATTAGCAACATCCTTGTAGTGGCAACTCAGGACACAGTCAATGGGATTAGCAACATCCTTGTAGTGGCAACTCAGGACACAGTCAATGAGATTAGCAACATCCTTGTAGTGGCAACTCAGGACACAGTCAATGAGATTAGCAACATCCTTGTAGTGGCAACTCAGGCCTGAACAGATCATTGTTAATAAGTCTTAAGTATCTCAAATTGAAGTCGATTATAAAATAGCTAACAGTATACACAAGGTTTACTAGAAGGTTTACAAAAGGTTTACTAGAAGGTTTACAAAAGGTTTACAAAAGGTTTATAAAAGGTTTACTAGAAGGTTTACAAAAGGTTTACAAAAGGTTTATAAAAGGTTTATAAAAGGTTTACTAGAAGGTTTACAAAAGGTTTATAAAAGGTTTACAAAATTCTTTCTCCTGAATGATCAGTAAACATTTAACAGTAAATTGTATAACCTTATACAGTAAAGTGTATAACAGTACGCAGTAAACCTTATAGATCTAGCATCAAACAGTGAAGGTTAGAATAATTCCAAAGGTTTATAAACTTCCGTGTTGACTTCGATTGTTGTAAAGTTTATAGCTTAGTTTTGAACACAATGTCGTCTTTGTTGTACCAATACTTGAAACATTAGATGGTTTTTATAACAGAACATTTGTAAGTAATGTTTTAAAAAACCAATGGTAAATTAATGTGTATAAAGATGGCGAGATGTTTTTGATGTAGACCGTAGGTAAACTGATCTCAGATGTAAAATACTATTTGGGAATCACGTGACGAGAAACAAATTTGTCCTTTTGCCCTTGGGGTACCATGTTGTGGTAGTAATTAAGTGCCAATCGTGGGGGGGGGGGGGAGATGGTCGAGGGAGTGGGTCAAATAACGAGCTGAGTGCCATAAGTGATAAAAACATGCGTCTAGTGCCGCCCAAAGTTGGCTGGTTGCCTTCTGCTGTTGGTGGGGGCGGGGGCAAGGTGGGTGGTGAGGGGGTTGGTCATGATGGGGTGGGTGGTATGCGAGGAGGGTGGTGTTCAAGGGATTGATGGTGCCTGTCTAACTACCACTGGCTGGATGCTTGTGTCATATTGTCTGCATGATAAAACTTTAGCTGATGTCAATGGTCTCACATTGTGGTTGGCATTTTGTTTTGGCAGTGACAGAAATCGTGTGGTTGTGTAAGCAACTGCACCATTTAGTGAACTAGGAGGGACTTAGTAGTTCAGTAAGTTTTCTTCTTGAATAGACCCACATTTTTGGTTGGACTCAACTGCGTTAGATAAAAACTGTCTTAAACTTTTAGCAGGACTTGCACGTGTAAATATTAACCAAGGCAGGCTTATAGTTAGGATAGTGAGGGAGATTTGTATGTTAAGAAGTTAGGTAGGGGAGATTTGTATGCTAAGACGTTAGGTAAAAATAGGTTTGTATGTCAGGTTTTGAAGAGATTCATTTAAATTGACAGCTTGGTTTAGAAGGATTTTTGGAATTCGGTTAGTAAACAGGTAGTTTAATATATATATATATATATATATATATATATATATATATATATATATATATATATATATATATATATATATATATATATATATATATATATAATGTGAAACTATCTACATGTGCTGGAACAACTAACATGAATTTGTTGAAATAATTTTAAATGTAAAATAAAATCTAATTTTGACTTTGAAAATGTACAGATAGAACAGAGCAGCGCATGAACTGATTGCTCAACATTTAATCGTCAAGTTTACTTCACTTACTGTCAAGTTTACTTCACTTACTGTCAAGTTTACTTCACTTACTGTCAAGTTTACTTCACTTACTGAATCCTCATGGCCGCCAGTCTGACGTCATCAAACATCTTACTGTTGGTTTTGAGCTTCCTATTGGCGGGAAAAATACGAGTGGTCAAAGCCGATGCTGCCAGTAAGTATTGTGACATGTGATGTCAGTGTTGTGACATTTGATGTCAGTGATGTGACATTTGATGCCAGTGATGTGACATTTGATGTCAGTGTTGTGACATTTGATGTCAGTGATGTGACATGTGATGTCAGTGTTGTGACATTTGATGTCAGTGATGTGACATTTGATGTCAGTGTTGTGACATGTGATGTCAGTGATGTGACATGTGATGTCAGTGATGTGACATTTGATGTCAGTGTTGTGACATGTGATGTCAGTGTTGTGACATGTGATGTCAGTGTTGTGACATTTGATGTCAGTGATGTGACATTTAATGTCAGTGTTGTGACATGTGATGTCAGTGATGTGACATGTGATGTCAGTGATGTGACATGTGATGTCAGTGATGTGACATGTGATGTCAGTGATGTGACATGTGATGTCAGTGATGTGACATTTGATGTCAGTGTTGGATATTTGATGTCAGTGTTGGATATTTGATGTCAGTGTTGGATATTTGATGTCAGTGTTGTGATATTTGATGTCAGTGTTGTGATATTTGATGTCAGTATTGTGATATTTGATGTCAGTGTTGTGACATGTGATGTCAGTGTTGTGACATGTGATGTCAGTGTTGTGACATGTGATGTCAGTGTTGTGACATGTGATGTCAGTGTTGGATATTTGATGTGAGTGTTGGATATTTGATGTCAGTGTTGTGATATTTGATGTCAGTGTTGTGATATTTGATGTCAGTGTTGTGACATGTGATGTCAGTGTTGTGACATGTGATGTCAGTGTTGTGACATTTGATGTCAGTGTTGTGACATTTGATGTCAGTGTTGTGACATTTGATGTCAGTGTTGTGACATTTGTTGTCAGTGCCGACCTAAGTAAAAATGATTAGAAGCCAGAACGGTAAAAAACGATACTAGTGCAAATGCCTTTGAGCCAAAGATTGAAACAGTATACACATATTAAGTGCGGTCGGCGTGGTCTAGTCGTCGTGTTCACGGTTGTAAAACCAAAAAGTCCCCAGTTCGAACCCCCGTGCAGATGAGGCTCAGTAGCTGGAGACAGCAACCTATCTAGGAGAAACAACACCAAAATCAAACAACTACTACTTTTTTCTCTGGTGGAAGCGGGGGAAAATTTCCTTCAATGCTGTACAATTAAGGAAGAAAAAATAGAGCACTAGTCGGCCGTGTTTTGAGCGGGGAAAAAATCAGAAATGGAGTTGGAGGAAATACCAGACAGCACAATTTAAGAACAAAGAAAAAGCATATATATATATATATATATATATATATATATATATATATATATATATATATATATATATATATATATATATATATATATATATATATATATATATATATATATATATATATATATATAATATGCTTAACATTGCATATAGAAATCTCTTGTACATTTCAGCTTGGAACTATAACCGCTCAGATTTAGGAGGTAAGTTTTGTGACCTAACCTGGTTATACTTCACTTTTGTAACTAGGATAAACTGGAGGGATAGGATAGTTTGTTGTGGGGGGGGGGAGTTTGGGGGGGGGGGGAAATGTTGGAGGGTTGGGACACTTTGTTAAGGAGGGGGGAGATTGTTGGAGGGAGGGGATAGTTTGCTTGGGGAGGGGGGTGGGGGACAGTTTGTTGGGTGGGTGGGACAGTTTGTTGGGTGGGTGGGACAATTTGTTGGGGGGGTGGGGGCAGTTTGTTGGGTGGGTGGGACACTTTGTTGGGGTGGGGTGTGGGTGGGACAGTTTGTTGGGTAGGTGGGACAGTTTGTTGGGGTGGGGGGGGGGGGTTGGGGACAGTTTGTAGGGTGGATGTGACAGTTTGTTTGGGGGGGGGGGGGTGGGGGCAGTTTGTTGGGTGGGTGGGACACTTTGTTGGGTGGGGGGTGGGTGGGACAGTTTGTTGGGTAGGTGGGGCAGTTTGTTGGGGTGGGGGGGGGGGTGGGGGACAGTTTTTAGGGTGGGTGGGACAGTTTGTAGTGTGGGTGGGACAGTTTGTAGTGTGGGTGGGACAGTTTGTGGCGGGGGGGGGGGGGGGCGAGTGAGACAATTTGTAAAGGGGGTGGAGTTTGTTGGAGGGATGGGATAGTTTCTTTGAGCGTTTGAGTGATTGTTGTATGTTCTCTGACATTGTTGTTGTCTGACCGTGTTTCTGTGACCCCCAGGACCAGATAAATGGAGCCTGACCTACAGCGACTGTGGGGGTGTGTTCCAGTCCCCCATCGACATCAACACGAGCACCGTCCTGTACGACCCTCTCCTCCAGCGCTTCAACGTCACGGACTACACCAGCAAGCTGGACGGGCTGGACATGAGGCTGGTCAACAAGGGGGGACACACGGGTCAGTTACAGCACTCTAGGAGTGTCTGGTGCCAGAGTGTCTGGTGCCAGAGTGTCTGGTGCCAGAGTGTCTGGTGCCAGAGTGTCTGGTGCCAGAGTGTTTGGTGCCAGAGTGTTTGGTGCGAGAGTGTTTGGTGCGAGAGTGTTTGGTGCGAGAGTGTTTGGTGCGAGAGTGTTTGGTGCGAGAGTGTTTGGTGCGAGAGTGTTTGGTGCGTGTTTGGTGGGAGTGTTGTGTGCTAGAGTGTTTGGTGCGAGAATGCTTGGAGCGAGAGTGTTTGGTGCGAGAGTGTTTGGTGCGAGTATGTTTGGTACGACAGTGATTCGTGCGTGTTTGGCGCGAGAGTGTTTAGTGCTAGAGTGTTTGGTGCGAGAGTGTTTGGTGCGAGAGTGTTTGGTGCGAGAGTGTTTGGTGCGAGAGTGTTTGGTGCGAGAGTGTTTGGTGCGTGTTTGGTGGGAGTGTTGTGTGCGAGAGTGTTTGGAGCGAGAGTGTTTGATGCGAGAGTGTTTGGTGCGAGTGTGTTTGATACGACAGTGATTGGTGCGTGTTTGGTGCGAGAGTGTTTGGTGCGAGAGTGTTTGGTGCGAGAGTGTTTGGTGCGAGAGTGTTTGGTGCGAGAGTGTTTGGTGCGAGAGTGTTTGGTGCGAGAGTGTTTGGTGCGAGAGTGTTTGGTGCGTGTTTGGTGGGAGTGTTGTGTGCTAGAGTGTTTAGTGCGAGAGTGTTTGGAGCGAGAGTGTTTGGTGCGAGTGTGTTTGGTACGACAGTGATTGGTGCATGTTTGGTGCGAGAGTGTTTGGTGCGAGAGTGTTTTGTGCGAGAGTGTTTGGTGCGGGAGTGTTTCGTGCGAGTGTTTGGTACGAGAGTGATTGGTGCGTGTTTGGTGCGAGAGTGTTTGGTGCGTGTTTGGTGCGAGAGTGATTGGTGCGTGTTTGGTGCGAGAGTGATTGGTGCGTGTTTGGTGCGAGAGTGTTTGGTGCGAGTGTTTGGAGCGAGAGTGTTTGGTGCGAGAGTGTTTGGTACGAGAGTGATTGGTGCGTGTTTGGTGCGAGAGTGTTTGGTACGAGTGTTTGGTGCGTGTTTGGTGCGTGTTTGGTGCGAGAGTGTTTGGTACTAGAGTGTTTGGTACTAGAGTGTTTGGTGCGAGAGTGTTTGGTGCGAGAATGTTTGGTGCGAGAGTGTTTGGTGCGTGTTTGGTGCGTGTTTGGTTCGTGTTTTGTGCGAGAGTGCTTGGTGCGTGTTTGGTGGGAGTGTTGTGTGCTAGAGTGTTTGGTGCGAGAGTGTTTGGAGCGAGAGTGTTTGGAGCGAGAGTGTTCGGTGCGAGAGTGTTTGGTGCGAGTGTGTTTGGTACGACAGTGATTGGTGCGAGAGTGTTTGGTGCTAGAGTGTTTGGTGCTAGAGTGTTTGGTGCGAGAGTGATTGGTGCGAGAGTGTTTGGTGCGAGAGTGTTTGGAGCGAGAGTGTTTGGAGCGAGAGTGTTTGGTGCGAGAGTGTTTGGTGCGAGAGTGTTTGGTGCGAGTGTGTTTGGTACGACAGTGATTGGTGCGTGTTTGGTGCGAGAGTGTTTGGTGCGAGAGTGTTTTGTGCGGGAGTGTTTGGTGCGAGTGTGTTTGGTACGACAGTGATTGGTGCGAGAGTGTTTGGTGCGAGAGTGTTTGGTGCGAGAGTGTTTGGTGCGTGTTTGGTGGGAGTGTTTGGTGCGAGAGTGTTTGGTGGGAGAGTGTTTTGTGCGGGAGTGTTTGGTGCGAGAGTGTTTGGTGCGAGAGTGTTTGGTGCATGTTTGGTGCGAGAGTGTTTGGTGCGAGAGTGTTTGGTGCGAGAGTGTTTGGTGCGAGAGTGTTTGGTGCGTGTTTGGTGGGAGTGTTGTGTGCTAGAGTGTTTGGAGCGAGAGTGTTTGGTGCGAGAGTGTTTGGTGCGAGTGTGTTTGGTACGACAGTGATTGGTGCGAGAGTGTTTGGTGCGAGAGTGTTTGGTGCGAGAGTGTTTGGTGCGTGTTTGGTGGGAGTGTTTGGTGCGAGAGTGTTTGGTGGGATAGTGTTTTGTGCGGGAGTGTTTGGTGCGAGAGTGTTTGGTGCGAGAGTGTTTGGTGCATGTTTGGTGCGAGAGTGTTTGGTGCGAGAGTGTTTGGTGCGAGAGTGTTTGGTGCGAGAGTGTTTGGTGCGTGTTTGGTGCGAGAGTGTTTGTTTCGTGTTTGGTGCGTGTTTGGTGCGAGATTGTTTGGTGCGAGAGTGGTGCGAGAGTGTTTGGTACGAGAGTGATTGGTGAGTGACTTTGTATAAATATTGTGTACGAAAACAAGAGCTGCACCTTGTGTGATCAAATTTAAGTACTTAAAAACTTGAAAGAAAACAAAAATAACTGGGGCATGTTTTGTTGAACCAGTCAATTAAAAAGTGCCATTTCAAATCTTAACAACTTGTGTATAAAAAATGGGTTTGAAAGTGTCCGGGTTGGGGGGTGGGTCGGTATGTTGTGGGTCTGTACAGGTGAATCACCTACCTGCTGGCCGTCCCGCTCAGGTGAAGCGTGGAGTCATATCTGCACTGACAGGAAGCACACCTGACAATCTGAGTGTGACATCTAGATAAACATTAGCTTCGTGTCAACGTCTTATCTTTACCCCCACCTCCACACCCTCACACCAACCCATCACACCAACCCCTCACACCAACCCCTCAACCCAACCCCTCACACCAACCTTTCACCCGAATTCCTAAAAATCAGCATTTCACACAACCCCGCACCCCAACCCCTGTCACCCCAACCCCTGTCACCCCCCCCCCCCCCCCACTCCATCCCCACGACCACCCCACCCCCACACCAACCCCTCGACCATCCCCTAAACCTCACTCACACTTCTGGGCTCAATCAGGATAAGGCTTGTGTGTGGGACGTAGCAGCCCATCTTTGCTATGAGCCACCTAGGGCTCTCCATAACTGGAGCCGCCTATGGCTGGGGGAGAAAGTAGCGGTAAAGTGGAAATAAGCACGTTGCTTATTTCTTGCTATATAATGAGAAAAAAAATCGCCTACATAGCATGTAGCCTGTATGTAACCTTAATGTAATGTGTCAGAAAATGGTGTAGCTCCTTTGCTCTAAAGCAGGGGTCTCCAAACTTTTCAGTCCGAGGGCCGCATTAACTATCAAATTTCAGTTCGAGGGCCAGTTTTTTCCAGGCATGTCTTTGATTTTTCTGGGCAATGTTCCTCAGCCATCACCAACAAACGATTTTTCCTAGGACAAAAAGATTTCAGCGGGCCGGATGAGAGGACTTTGCGGGCCGCATCCGGCCCGCGGGCCGTAGTTTGGAGACCCCTGCTCTAAAGAGAAAAAAAAAAGAACACTATAGCTATCTAGAAACATTCATAGCTATCCTACTCTTTATTCAAACCTTGCTCGATCGAATAGCCAAAATAATTTTATAAAATAAGTAAAAAAGGAAGTTCAAAATTTTTAACCAAAACAAACGTAGGCCCATGCCTATAAACAGAACCTAAATATAGATCACCTTTAGACGAAATAAGCACGTTGCTTTTTCCGTGTACCGTTATTCGAATAAGTACCATCGGAGTATTGTTATGACGCATTGTCTATTTATAGCTGAGGTCATCTACTCTGGCAACGAGCGGGTCTATCTCCGTGGCGGGAATTTGCCAGACGACTACAGGCTGGAGCAGTTCCACTTTCACTGGGGGTCATTGGATAGACAAGGGTCAGAGCACGCCATAGACTCACAATTCGCCCCCATGGAGGTACACATCTCTTTTATCTGTCTGTCATTTGTGTTATTTGTGTCTGTGGTTTGTCATTTATGTCAATCGTTTGGTTCTGCAACCGGACAATACAATCATCTAGATCTCGGTATATTTTTTCTGTCCTTTGTTTTTAACTCAATCTCTTTAAAGGCGTTAGTCTGTCGTTCAATGTGCTTAATGACGTCGATGTGTCGGCTAATGTGCTTAAATGACGTCAATGTGCTTAATGACGTCAGTTTGTCTGTCAATGTGCTTAATGACGTCGATGTGTCGGTCAATGTGCTTAATGACGTCAATGTGCTTAATGAAGTCAATGTATCTGTTAATGTGCTTAATGACGTCAATGTGCTTAATGACGTCAATATGCTTAATGAAGTCAATGTATCTGTCAATGTGCTTAATGACGTCAATATGCTTAATGACGTCAATGTATCTGTCAATGTGCTTAATGACTTCAAAGATTCTATTTTTATCCCAGCTTCACCTGGTGCACGTCCAGAAACGTCTAGAAAAATCCAACACGTCATCATCTCACCCCCACGGCCTGGCTGTTCTTGGCTTTTTATTTCAGGTAATTAGTGGTAGTGGACAGCTAATTAGTGGTTGTGGTTAGTTAATTAGTGGTAGTGGTTAGTTAATTAGTGATATTAGACAGCTAATTAGTGATAGTGGTTAGTTAATTAGTGGTAGTGGTTAGTTAATTAGTGGTAGTGGTTAGTTAGTTAGTGGTAGTGGTTAGTTAATTAGTGGTAGTGGTTAGTTAATTAGTGATAGTAGACAGCTAATTAGTGATAGTGGTTAGTTAATTAGTGGTAATGGTTAGTTAATTAGTGGTAGTGGTTAGTTAATTAGTGATAGTGGACAGCTAATTAGTGATAGTGGTTAGTTAATTAGTGATAGTGGTTAGTAAATTAGTGGTAGTGGTTAGTTAATTAGTGGTAGTGGTTAGTTAATTAGTGGTAGTGGTTAGTTAATTAGTGGTAGTGGTTAGTTAATTAGTGATAGTGGTTAGTTAATTAGTGGTAGCGGTTAGTCAATTAGTGGTAGTGGTTAGTTAATTAATGGTAGTGGTTAGTTAATTAATGGTAGTGGTTAGTTAATTAGTTATAGTGGTCAGCTAATTAGAGAGAGTGTTCAGTTAATTAATGGTAGTTGTCACTAAATTAAAAAAAATAGCCATTAGACAATTGAAGGGATTGGTTACTTAAAGGTTCCGTCCAGGTAATTTAAGATAATTGTCAGATAGTTTAAGGTAGTGATAAGATGAAGGTAGTGTATTAGGTGAAGATGGTGATTTTATTATTGAACTGTAGCCTGAACTTTTCAGAGAAGTGACAACAACAACACAAAACTAGATGAGCTGCTCAAATATTTCCCCAACATTACAAGCGCCAGTGAGTCTTGTTGAGTTGTATAATTTCTATCAATATAATTCACTGTATATGGTTCTAAGATTTAGAATTAAATCATGTAATTTCATTCTTGTATTAATTTTTTTATTGCAATCATTCAACAGAGAACATAGGTATGTTATTTTTTGTCTCAACTTTGGTGATGGGATTATCATTATAAAATCAATCAATATTTAACCCTTATGCGTTTCAAGAACATCTTTATCTGATTAATTTATATTTTCATTTTTGTTTTATATCAAGTCGTTTAACTAATATTTTTGACGTATTTTATTTTTAATCATCCTGCAACTAATGCTTTCAGCTATTTAAAAAATATATCCTCGCTTTTGCAGCTTATGGTTTATTATAATTTTCAAATTTCAATTTTAAAAAATCTTTCATTTCTTTTTCTGTACTTGTCAAAATATAACATTTAAAATACATCTTGTATTTTAACCCAACTCATTACATTTGACAAAATGTTTTAATTTGGGATATGAGAGACGGCTTAAGCACATCAGTTAGAATTACCTCGCTGGGAATAGTTTATTTTTTATACATTTTTAAAAGATTCGAATTGTTATGTGACAAGATCTCATATCAGTTGTCTGTCCCGTGTCTGTCTTATACCAGTCAAATGTCTGTATTCTGCTCCCTATGTGCTCTAGACAATGAAACAGAGATCGAGCCCTTTAAAGTCAGCGACCTCCTGCCTGACGACTTAGAAAACTTGGACTTTTACCGGTATGAGGGCAGCTTGACCACGCCCCCCTGCTCAGAAACTGTCATCTGGTCAGTGGCAGTGGACAAGATCAACATCTCAGAGTACCAGGTGAGTGGTGTGTCACCAGGTGAGTGGTGTGTCACCAGGTGAGTGGGGTGTCACCAGGTGAGTGGTGTGTCACCAGGTGAGTGGTGTGTCACCAGGTGAGTGGTGTGTCACAGGTGAGAATGTGTGTCACCAGGTGAGAATGTGTGTCACCAGGTGAGAATGTGTGTCACCAGGTGAGTGGCGTGTCACCAGGTGAGTGGGGTGTCACCAGGTGAGTGGGGTGTCACCAGGTGAGTGGTGTGTCACCAGGTGAGTGGTGTGTCACCAAATAAGTTGTGTCACCAGCTGAGTGGTGTGTCACAGGTGAGTGGTGTGTCACCAGGTGAGTGGCGTGTCACCAGCTGAGTGGTGTGTCACAGGTGAGAATGTGTGTCACCAGGTGAGTGGTGTGTCACTAGGTGAGTGGCGTGTCACCAGGTGAGTGGAGTGTCACCAGGTGAATAGTGTGTCACCATATGAGTTGTGTGTCACCAGGTGAGTTGTGTGTCACCAGGTGAGTGGTGTGTCACCAGGTGAGTGGTGTGTCACCATATGAGTGGTGTGTCACCAGGTGAGTGGTGTGTCACCAGGTGAGTGGTGTGTCACCAGGTGTGTGGTGTGTCCCCAGGTGAGTGGTGTGTCACCAGGTGTGGTGTGTCACCTGGTGAGTTGTGTGTCACCAGGTGAGTGGTGTGTCCCCAGGTGAGTCGGGTGTCACCAGGTGAGTGGGGTGTCACCAGGTGAGTGGTGTGTCACCAGGTGTGTGGTGTGTCCCCAGGTGAGTGGTGTGTCCCCAGGTGAGTGGTGTGTCACCAGGTGAGTGGTGTGTCACAGGTGAGAATGTGTGTCACCAGGTGAGAATGTGTGTCACCAGGTGAGTGGTGTGTCACCAGGTGAGTGGTGTGTCACCAGGTGAGTGGGGTGTCACCAGGTGAGTGGCGTGTCACCAGATGAGTGGTGTGTCACTAGGTGAGTGTTGTGTCACCATATGAGTTGTGTGTCACCAGGTGAGTGGTGTGTCACCAGGTGAGTGGTGTGTCACCAGGTGTGTGGTGTGTCACCAGGTGAGTGGTGTGTCACCAGGTGAGTGGGGTGTCACCAGGTGAGTGGTGTGTCACCAGGTGTGTGGTGTGTCACCTGGTGAGTTGTGTGTCACCAGGTGAGTGGTGTGTCCCCAGGTGAGTGGGGTGTCCCCAGGTGAGTGGGGTGTCACCAGGTGAATGGGGTGTCACCAGGTGAGTGGTGTGTCACCAGGTGAGTGGTGTGTCACCAGGTGAGTGGTGTGTCACCAGGTGAGAATGTGTGTCACCAGGTGAGAATGTGTGTCACCAGGTGAATGGTGTGTCACCAGGTGAGTGGCGTGTCACCAGGTGAGTGGTGTGTCACCAGGTGAGTGGGGTGTCACCAGATGTGTAGTGTGTCACCATGTGAGTAGTGTGTCACCAGGTGAGTGGTGTGTCACCAGGTGAGTTGGGTGTCAGTTGCTTGATGATAGTGACATATTGCTCGTACGGTCATCATTAGTAGTTAGCTTAGATACAAAAGTGGGCACAAGTTTTTGTAGTAATTGGATTATGTAGTCCTAATGTTTGGCGATATATTTTTTACTGACACACTCTATCTTCTGCAGTTAAATATTTTCCGGTCCCTCCACAACGAGGAGGATGAGCTGCTGGTCAACGACTACCGTCCAGTACAAAATCTCAACAGCCGGACAGTGACGACCACCAGGAAACCCAGCACCATCACCGACACCAGCACCAGCACCAAAGTCTCTGTGGACGCCACGACAACTCCCAAAAACTCAGGTGTCCGGGTGCCTGCAGGTCATCTGGTCATGCTCGTCTTTACAGTGCTGGCCCTGAGACTGATGTCGTGGTCAAGATTCTAGACAGCCTGACAAGCTGGTCAAGATTCTAGACAGCCTGACAAGCTGGTCAAGATTCTAGACAGCCTGACAAGGTGGTCAAGATTCTAGACAGCTTGACAAGGTGGTCAAGATTCTAGACATCTTGACAAGGTGGTCAAGATTCTAGACATCTTGACAAGGTGGTCAAGATTCTGGACATCTTGACAAGGTGGTCAAGATTCTAGACAGCCTGACAAGGTGGTCAAGATTCTAGACAGCCTGACAAGGTGGTCAAGATTCTGGACATCTTGACAAGATGGTCAAGATTCTAGACAGCTGGACAAGGTGGTCAAGATTCTAGACAGCCTGACAAGGTGGTCAAGATTCTGGACATCTTGACAAGATGGTCAAGATTCTAGACAGCTGGACAAGGTGGTCAAGATTCTAGACAGCCTGACAAGGTGGTCAAGATTCTAGACAGCCTGACAAGGTGGTCAAGATTCTAGACAGCTGGACAGGGTGGTCAAGATTCTAGACAGCTTGACAAGGTGGTCAAGATTCTGGCCAGCTTGACAAGGTGGTCAAGATTCTAGACAGCCTGACAAGGTGGTCAAGATTCTAGACAGCTGGACAGGGTGGTCAAGATTCTAGACAGCTTGGCAAGGTGGTCAAGATTCTGGCCAGCTTGACAAGGTGGTCAAGATTCTAGACAGCTTGGCAAGGTGGTCAAGATTCTAGACAGATGGAACCATTGCTATTTATAATGTTGAGATACTGGTGTAAAGCGTGTGTGTGTGAGTGTGTGTGTGTAACGTGTGTGTGTTTGCAGGTGTACATCATGTGTGTTTGCGGCATGTGTCTGTGTGCAGTATATATGCAATGTGTGTCTGTGTGTGCAGTGTGTGTGTATGTGTGCAGCTACGTGTGCTGTACTTGAAATGAACTATTTGATTGTATGCTATTCCTATAATAAAGTTACTGTATAATATGTAAAGTTGCACATGATTGTATTTGATGTTCTCAACTCTACTGATGGGAGGTGACCACAATTTGTGTTCCATTTAGTGCTCAAAGTTTGTGTAGAAATAGTGCCTAGAATAGTCTGATTAAGTTCACAGAATAGTTTCAACTGTGTTTGATGGTTTGTTTAGAGACTTGTTAGCTGACGGTGAAAGATCTACAAAGTCCACAGAGAAACGAATCTCACTGTTGGATAAATCTGGCCAATCAGTCTTTGACTTGTAACAATCTTTGCTTTCTCTGCTTCCAGAACTTTCGCCATTTTAATTTAAGACTTAACGTGCACTAGAATGTTCTAGATTAGTCTCTCGACTCACGTTGACAAAAGACAAACAAACGAGTCCAGACATTGACACTGTCAATAGATTCTAAATGAAGTGAATAATCTGTCGACTATGTCAGATGTACTAGAGTCTATCACTCAATAGTTAGCCTGTGTTTATTGATGGGTTGAAGCTCTTAGCATATTGAAGGCGTTTCTTCAATCATTGGACATTGACAAATGTGATCATTGATTAATGTATATCCAATCAATTATGTTAAATATTTGTAAACCAGAAAATGTGTACAATGAGAGGATGATTGTGTGGTGTTTAGTGAGGGTGTCTGTTGGTGGTGTTATTTAATTTAGTGTATGCTTGGTGGTGTTAAGGTGTATGTGGTGTTGGTGTGAATGTCATCTCAGGTATATGATATGGGCAAACAATATGTGTAATCTAGACATATGTAACCCTGTCAATATTTCTCCGGTTCTTTGACTACAGATGATGACAAATGTTTAATACTTGATTTCGAATCTGTTGTTAAAAGACAGTGAAGAAACTAAGCAACTCTTATGAAGAATTGTATTTGTGATTAATAAAGCTTTAATTTTTTAAAACGCTTCTTAGTTGAATTTTTGGAACAGTGATGTAAAAACAAGTTATTAATAAGTCTAGTGACAATTTAAGCGCAATTTCCTTATGTTAGCCATAAAAATTTTAAATCGAGATAAATCATATATTCAGCAACGGTGCCCAAATATTAAAACTTTTATATCAGTATTTGGCCATGATTAAAACCCGCCCTCTTGTTTGTAAACATTAGCCCGTGGAAAAAACGAGCTACGCGTAGCTCGCCTCTCTCTCTCTTGCCGCGCGCAATAACGCGAACGATCCCATTTCGCGACAGGCTAGCCTCCCGTATCAGTCGAAAAATTAAAAAAAAAAACCCTTTCGAACCTCCGCTCATTCGCTATGGTAAAATCCTTTCGAACCTCAGCTTTGCGCTAAAAACCTACACGGCGCTCAGTTTAAATGTTCTTAATTAATTTTTTGTGACCGAACGAAAGGATATTTTTGAAAACTTTCTTCGGCAATATTGGTCTAAATTATGGCAGGAATCGATTGGTAAATGTTTCAAGTCGCTAAGTGGTCTGGTTGCCGAGATATGGAGCAAAAACTGTATTTGTTCGAGGTTTTTTGGCTTTTCCGGGAAATCCAGGAAGGAATTCCGAGAATTTTTTGGCCCACAATCATCCTTGGAACTTGCTTAACATATTTGCTTTTGGAACTAGTCCTCGATATTGCTTCGTTAAGGAGGAGATACCATTTAAAGCTGCGGACAAACATCCATCCATCCATCCATCCATCCATCCATCCATCCATATATCCATCCATACATCCATCCATCCAGAAATGACGAGTTAATAATCGCAATTGTCCGTATGGAAATTGCGCTAAAAAAAGACACGTAAGAGGTTTAAAAAAATTAAAACTAAATGGTTGAATTGTTTATGGATACCCAGTCAGTTTAATAGATAGCAGATCTTACCCAGTCAGTTTAAAATAGATAGCAGATCTTACCCAGTCAGCTTTAATAGATAGCAGATCTTACCCAGTCAGTTTAAAATAGATAGCAGATCTTACCCAGTCTGTTTAAAATAGATAGCAGATCTTACCCAGTCAGTTTAATAGATAGCAGATCTTACCCAGTCAGTTTAAAATAGAAAGCAGATCTTACCCAGTCAGTTTAATAGATATCAGATCTTACCCAGTCAGTTTAAAATAGATAGCAGATCTTACCCAGTCAGTTTAAAATAGATAGCAGATCTTACCCAGTCAGTTTAATAGATAGCAGATCTTACCCAGTCAGTTTAAAATAGATAGCAGATCTTACCCAGTCAGTTTAATAGATAGCAGATCTTACCCAGTCAGTTTAAAATAGATAGCAGATCTTACCCAGTCAGTTTAAAATAGATAGCAGATCTTACCCAGTCAGTTTAATAGATATCAGATCTTACCCAGTCAGTTTAAAATAGATAGCAGATCTTACCCAGTCTGTTTAAAATAGATAGCAGATCTTACCCAGTCAGTTTAATAGATATCAGATCTTACCCAGTCAGTTTAATAGATAGCAGATCTTACCCAGTCAGTTTAATAGATAGCAGATCTTACCCAGTCAGTTTAAAATAGATAGCAGATCTTACCCAGTCAGTTTAATAGATATCAGATCTTACCCAGTCAGTTTAAAATAGATAGCAGATCTTACCCAGTCAGTTTAAAATAGATAGCAGATCTTACCCAGTCAGTTTAATAGATAGCAGATCTTACCCAGTCAGTTTAATAGTTAATCGACTATCTGGGTGTTGTAGATCAAATCTGGCAACTTTAGTTATACCATCAGAAAATCTGGAAACTTTCGTTATGCAAGTAGAAAATCTGGCAACTTTAGTTATACCATCAGAAAATCTGGCAACTTTAGTTATACCATCAGAAAATCTGGCCGAATTGACAAATAAACAAAAGTAATCCAATTTTAAAATATAATTGTATAGTAACTAGCAAATAATGCCCCCCCCCCTCCCTAAGATAGTAGCTAGTAAAAAATATGTCGATATTTGATGTGCGATCACCCTTGACTACTAGCTCTAAAGAACTGACATTTGGTTTTATTTCAAATAAACTTATAATTTAAAGGCTGTGTTTTATTATACCAAGCAAGATGTTGGATGTGCTTGCATGTGTTGTTGGTTAGTGTCTACTTGCAATATTTTATTTGTTTCTCTCAGTAAGAAAAGACACGTGTCGAAGGCTCATTAAATGCGCCTCATCTAGACCAGATTTCGCACCAAATGAACGCTACGGTGCAGTCGATGTTTACACTAGGAAATAAAAGTTCCCGGAAGTTTCAAGCTATTGTGTACAAAGTTAGTGTACAGCCCGATTTCATACTTTCAGATTGTTTTGTTTTTATCATCTGACTCTCTAGAAAAGTTTTAGGATCTCAGCGACTGTGGGCGCCCCTCTAGTGTAAGTCCTGGATAAGTTGTTGTCGTCTGGTTGTTTTAAATTAATAGAGGCACCTGTGTTTAATGATGTTGAGAGGTTCGTCATGTTATTGTGGCGTTGTTAGTTTCATTGTCAGGTTTGACAATATCGATGCTGTGAGTGGCGTCGCTGCAATAATCCTCTCCACTAACACACTAACAGCCACTGACTCTTTGTCTAACTACTATATTTGATAAATAAATTAGAGAAAACTCAGACGCTACTTTCTGTGAGGCTCATAATGATCTTGCCAGGCTAATATTAAACCACAACAAAGATCTTGTTAGGCTAATGTTAAACCATAATGATCTTGTTAGGCTAATGTTAAACCATAATGATCTTGTCAGGCTAATGTTAAACCAGAATGATCTTGTCAGGCTAATGTTAAACCAGAATGATCTTGTTAGGCTAATGTTAAACCATAACGATCTTGTTAGGCTATTGTTAAACCGTAATGATGTTGTTAGGCTATTGTTAAACCATAATGACGTTGTTGGGCCATTGTTGAACCAAAATGATCTTGTAAGGTTAATGTTAAATCGTAATCATTTTGTCAGGCTAATGTTTAACCATGAAGATCCTTTCAGGCTAATATTTAAAATTAAACCTAAACAATGATGTTTTGGAAAGAAATAATTCAAATATCGTTTAAAATTCGGTAAGAAAATATTTTGGGTTCACGGGTAGAAAGTGAAGCACTTGATTCATGTCTGGCCATCAGGATATCATTGTTTGGGTTCATGCTAGGTTTGTTGTTAGGGTCGTGGGGACGGCTAAACCCAACAGTCCCGAGTCATGACCTCATTAGCCGAGGCTCATTAGCTGGGGACAGCAACACATCTAGAAAGTTTAAAAAATCAAACAACTTTAAAAAGTCGGAGTTAACAAGTGGATGACATGTTGGAATTTGATACTTAAACATGTTGGCGTGTGATACTTTAACATGTTGGCGTGTGATACTTAAATTGGCGTGTGATACTTAAACATGTTGGCGTGTGATACTTAAACATGTTGGCGTGTGATACTTAAACATGTTGGCGTGTGATACTTAAACATGTTGGCGTGTGATACTTAAACATGTTGGCGTGTGATACTTAAACATGTTGGCGTGTGATACTAAAACATGTTGGCGTGTGATACTTAAACATGTTGGCGTGTGATACTTAAACATGTTGGCGTGTGATACTTAAACATGTTGGCGTGTGATACTTAAACATGTTGGCGTGTGATACTTAAACATGTTGGCGTGTGATACTTAAACATGTTGGCGTGTGATACTTAAACATGTTGGCGTGTGATACTTAAACATGTTGGCGTGTGATACTTAAACATGTTGGCGTGTGATACTTAAACATGTTGGCGTGTGATACTTAAACATGTTGGCGTGTGATACTTAAACATGTTGGCGTGTGATACTTAAACATGTTGGCGTGTGATACTTAAACATGTTGGCGTGTGATACTTAAACATGTTGGCGTGTGATACTTAAATTGGCGTGTGATACTTAAACATGTTGGCGTGTGATACTTAAACATGTTGGGATGTGATACTTAAACATGTTGGCGTGTGATACTTAAACATGTTGGCGTGTGATACTTAAACATGTTGGCGTGTGATACTTAAACATGTTGGCGTGTGATACTTAAACATGTTGGCGTGTGATACTTAAACATGTTGGCGTGTGATACTTAAATTGGCGTGTGATACTTAAACATGTTGGCGTGTGATACTTAAACATGTTGGCGTGTGATACTTAAATTGGCGTGTGATACTTAAACATGTTGGCATGTGATACTTAAACATGTTGGGATGTGATACTTAAACATGTTGGCGTGTGATACTTAAACATGTTGGCGTGTGATACTTAAACATGTTGGCGTGTGATACTTAAATTGGCGTGTGATACTTAAACATGTTGGCGTGTGATACTTAAACATGTTGGCGTGTGATACTTAAACATGTTGGCGTGTGATACTTAAACATGTTGGCGTGTGATACTTAAACATGTTGGCGTGTGATACTTAAACATGTTGGCGTGTGATACTTAAACATGTTGGCGTGTGATACTTAAACATGTTGGCGTGTGATACTTAAACATGTTGGCGTGTGATACTTAAACATGTTGGCGTGTGATACTTAAATTGGCGTGTGATACTTAAACATGTTGGCGTGTGATACTTAAACATGTTGGCGTGTGATACTTAAACATGTTGGCGTGTGATACTTAAACATGTTGGCGTGTGATACTTAAACATGTTGGCGTGTGATACTTAAACATGTTGGCGTGTGATACTTAAACATGTTGGCGTGTGATACTTAAACATGTTGGCGTGTGATACTTAAACATGTTGGCGTGTGATACTTAAACATGTTGGCGTGTGATACTTAAACATGTTGGCGTGTGATACTTAAATTGGCGTGTGATACTTAAACATGTTGGCGTGTGATACTTAAACATGTTGGGATGTGATACTTAAACATGTTGGCGTGTGATACTTAAACATGTTGGCGTGTGATACTTAAACATGTTGGCGTGTGATACTTAAATTGGCGTGTGATACTTAAACATGTTGGCGTGTGATACTTAAACATGTTGGCGTGTGATACTTAAACATGTTGGCGTGTGATACTTAAACATGTTGGCGTGTGATACTTAAACATGTTGGCGTGTGATACTTAAACATGTTGGCGTGTGATACTTAAACATGTTGGCGTGTGATACTTAAACATGTTGGCGTGTGATACTTAAACATGTTGGCGTGTGATACTTAAATTGGCGTGTGATACTTAAACATGTTGGCGTGTGATACTTAAACATGTTGGCGTGTGATACTTAAACATGTTGGCGTGTGATACTTAAACATGTTGGCGTGTGATACTTAAACATGTTGGCGTGTGATACTTAAACATGTTGGCGTGTGATACTAAAACATGTTGGCGTGTGATACTAAAACATGTTGGCGTTTGATACTTAAACATGTTGGCGTGTGATACTTAAACATGTTGGCGTGTGATACTTAAACATGTTGGCGTGTGATACTAAAACATGTTGGCGTGTGATACTTAAACATGTTGGCGTGTGATACTTAAACATGTTGGCGTGTGATACTTAAACATGTTGGCGTGTGATACTTAAACATGTTGGCGTGTGATACTTAAACATGTTGGCGTGTGATACTAAAACATGTTGGCGTGTGATACTAAAACATGTTGGCGTGTGATACTTAAACATGTTGGCGTGTGATACTTAAACATGTTGGCGTGTGATACTTAAACATGTTGGCGTGTGATACTTAAACATGTTGGCGTGTGATACTTAAACATGTTGGCGTGTGATACTTAAAGATGTTGGCATGTTGGTCAAAAATCCACCATCACCATATTACAATTAAGAAGTAGTTCGGGTCATGATAGATCATCCAGGATAATGTCATTTTGTGGGTGATTATTCGGGTCAGCGTTATGGTACCATTCTAGTGGATATGTCCTGTGTGAAGTGCCTGATTTTTTATTGGACAGTACGAACAATGTACAAGTACTAACCCTCTTCTTTTGTAACTAAACCATTCAGTTAATCTCTACTGATGACAAAGTGGCTTGTATGGCATTTTTTCTAGCTAATTAGCGTGTCTGAAGGTGGGAGTGCTTTGTGCCAAGGTCCACCGTTTGTCAAGTTCCAGACATCACAGGATGGAAGATGACATGGTTTAAACTTGTCATTTTTCTTGGACATCTTTTTCTATACAAGCCCAGACTGACAGCAGGTATGTGAACACACACCCCCACATCTCTCTCACACCCCCACATCTCTCTCACACCCCCACATCTCTCTCACACCCCCACATCTCTCTCACACCCCCACATCTCTCTCACACCCCACATCTCTCTCACACCCCACATCTCTCTCACACCCCCACATCTCTCTCACACCCCACATCTCTCTCACACCCCACATCTCTCTCACACCCCACATCTCTCTCACACCCCACATCTCTCTCACACCCCCACATCTCTCTCATAACCCCACATCTCTCTCACACCCCCACATCTCTCTCACACCCCACATCTCTCTCACACCCCCACATCTCTCTCACACCCCCACATCTCTCTCACACCCCACATCTCTCTCACACCCCCACATCTCTCTCATAACCCCACATCTCTCTCACACCCCCACATCTCTCTCACACCCCCACATCTCTCTCACACACACCGACATCTCACACCCCACGCCTCTCATTACATGTTCTAATTTTAAATATACACATGTAAATACAAGATCTAAACACGAAAATGTCGAGTTGTGACAGTGTTGTGACAGTGTTGTGACAGTGTTGTGACAGTGTTGTGACAGTGTTGTGACAGTGTTGTGACAGTGTTGTGACAGTGTTGTGACAGTGTTGTGACAGTGTTGTGACAGTGTTGTGACAGTGTTGTGACAGTGTTGTGACAGTGTTGTGACAGTGTTGTATGATGTGCGCCAGTGTCAATTGTGTGATGAAACTGCCACACCTAAGTAATCTGCAACATATACACATATATAGACATACATACATGCTTACTTATATATATATATATATATATATATATATATATATATATATATATATATATATATATATATATATATATATATATATATATATATATATATATATATATATATATTGCTAGGAAATGACTGGAGCTACAATACCCACGAGAAGGGGAGAGGTAGGTTCCCTTTTCGTCAAAATTGTTTAGCGTTTGGTTAATTTTTTTTTCTTGCGCTTCATGTCCTGACAACTTGTCCCTTGCAGTGGTGTAGGTAGGGCGGGGGCGGGGGTGTGGGGTGTTAGGGTGGGGTGGTTGGAGGCAGCATTAAAAATTTTGAATGTTTTTGAACCACTGTCATTCCAGAATGTGTGGAAATGTGTGTTTGTGTGTGTGTGTGAGATAGAGAGAAAGGAAACAATTATTGACCCCTCCTCTCCTGACCACTGACCCCATGTGTTCTTAAGGTCTTGACCACTGACCCCATGTGTTCTTAAGGTCCTGACTACTGACCCCATGTGTTTTTAAGGTCCTGACCACTGACCCCATGTAAGGTCCTGACTACTGACCCCATGTAAGGTCCTGACTACTGGTCCAATGTGTTCTTAAGGTCTTGACCACTGACCCCATGTGTTCTTAAGGTCTTGACCACTGACCCCATGTAAGGTCCTGACTACTGGTCCAATGTAAGATCCTGACTACTGACCCCATGTGTTCTTAAGGTCTTGACCACTGACCCCATGTGTTCTTAAGGTCTTGACCACTGACCCCATGTGTTCTTAAGGTCTTGACCACTGACCCCATGTGTTCTTAAGGTCCTGACCACTGACCCCATGTGTTCTTAAGGTCCTGACCACTGACCCCATGTAATGTCCTGACCACTGGCCCCATGTAAGGTCCTGACTACTGACCCCATGTAATGTCCTGACCACTGACCCCATGTAATGTCCTGACCACTGACCCCATGTAATGTCCTGACTACTGACCCCATGTAAGGTCCTGACCACTGACCCCATGTAAGGTCTTGACCACTGACCCCATGTGTTCTTAAGGTCTTGACCACTGACCCCATGTGTTCTTAAGGTCTTGACCACTGACCCCATGTGTTCTTAAGGTCCTGACCACTGACCCCATGTGTTCTTAAGGTCCTGACCACTGACCCCATGTAATGTCCTGACCACTGGCCCCATGTAAGGTCCTGACTACTGACCCCATGTAATGTCCTGACTACTGACCCCATGTAAGGTCCTGACTACTGACCCCATGTAATGTCCTGACCACTGACCCCATGTAATGTCCTGACTACTGACCCCATGTAAGGTCCTGACCACTGACCCCATGTAAGGTCCTGACTACTGGTCCCATGTAATGTCCTGACTACTGACCCCATGTGTTCTTAAGGTCCTGACTACTGACCCCATGTAAGGTCCTGACTACTGACCCCATGTAAGGTCCTGACTACTGACCCCATGTAATGTCCTGACCACTGACCCCATGTAAGGTCCTGACTACTGACCCCATGTAAGGTCCTGACTACTGGTCCCATGTAATGTCCTGACCACTGACCCCATGTGTTCTTAAGGTCCTGACTACTGACCCCATGTAAGGTCCTGACTACTGACCCCATGTGTTCTTAAGGTCCTGACTACTGACCCCATGTAAGGTCCTGACTACTGACCCCATGTGTTCTTAAGGTCCTGACTACTGACCCCATGTAAGGTCCTGACTACTGACCCCATGTAATGTCCTGACCACTGACCCCATGTAAGGTCCTGACTACTGACCCCATGTGTTCTTAAGGTCCTGACTACTGGTCCCATGTAATGTCCTGACTACTGACCCCATGTGTTCTTAAGGTCCTGACTACTGACCCCATGTAAGGTCCTGACTACTGACCCCATGTGTTCTTAAGGTCCTGACCACTGACCCCATGTAAGGTCCTGACTACTGACCCCATGTAAGGTCCTGACTACTGACCCCATGTAAGGTCCTGACTACTGACCCCATGTGTTCTTAAGGTCCTGACCACTGACCCCATGTAAGGTCCTGACTACTGACCCCATGTAAGGTCCTGACTACTGACCCCATGTAATGTCCTGACTACTGACCCCATGTAATGTCCTGACTACTGACCCCATGTAATGTCCTGACTACTGACCCCATGTGTTCTTAAGGTCCTGACTACTGGTCCCACATACACCAAGTCTGCAGTGGATTCGAACAGTCTCCCGTCAACATCGACACGGAGTTCATGGTCTACGACACCACGTTGGCCTACTTTAACTTCACTGAGTACGCCCACAAGCAGGGGGTACACCAGATCTTATCCACCATCAACGTCATTACAGGTCAGTCCAACGACCAGATACTACACACTCACCTGCAGATACTACACACTCACCTGCAGATACTACACACTCACCTGCAGATACTACACACTCACCTGCAGATACTACACACTCACGTGCAGACACTACACACTCACGTGCAGATACTACACACTCACCTGCAGATACTACACACTCACGTGCAGATACTACACACGTGCAGATACTACACACTCACGTGCAGATACTACATACTCACATACAAACCAACACCTTAGTTTTGTCGAATGTAAGATTTTTTTTTTTGCGTTATGTGTTGATAAATCACTGTTGTGTCAAAATTAGTTTTAGCTCATCAATAAAAAAAATGACATGACATGACATGACATGAGACAACACGACACGACAGTACATGACATAACATGACAAGACATGACATGACATGACAGAACAAAATAACATGACACGACATGAGCTGACACTGTAGCATTACATCTCATTACAGCTGTCATCACGTACTCTGGCCATAAGATCCTACTACGGGGCGGCTCCCTGCCACAAGACTTCACGCTCTACCAAGTCCATTTCCACTGGGACCCGAGAAGTGTACACAGCGGGTCAGAACATGCCATCAACGGCAGACGCTACGGCATGGAGGTATGATACACGGATACATGATACACGGATACATGATACACGGATACATGATACACGGATACATGATACACGGACTCACGTCATAGATACATGATACACGGATGCATGATACACGGACTCACGTCATTGATACATGATACACGGATACATGATACACGGACTCACGTCATTGATACATGATACACGGATGCATGATACACGGATACATGATACACGGACTCACGTCATTGATACATGATATACGGATACATGATACACGGATACTTCATACACGGATACATGATACACGGACACACGTCACTGATACATGATACACGGACACACGTCATTGATACATGATACACGGATACATGATACACGGATACATGATACACGGATACATGATACACGGACACACGTCATTGATACATGATACACGGATACATGATACACGGATACATGATACATGATACACGGATACATGATACACGGACAAACGTCATTGATACATGATACACGGATACATAATACACGGATACATGATACACGGATGCATGCTACACGGATACATGATACACGGATACATGATACACGGATACATGATACACGGATACATGATACACGGATACATGATACACGGATACATGATACACGGATACATGATACACGGACACACGTCATTGATACATGATACACGGATACATGATACACGGATACATGATACACGGATACATTATACACGGATACATGATACACGGATACATGATACACGGATACATGATACACGGATACATGATACAAGGATACATGATACACGGATATATGATACACGGATGCATGATACACGGATGCATGATAAACGGATACATGATACACGGATACATGATACACGGATAAATGATACACGGATAGATGATACACTGATACATGATACACGGATACATGATACACGGATACATGATACACGGATACATGATACACGGACACACGTCATTGATACATTATACACGGATACATAATAAACGGATACTTGATACACGTATACATGATAAACGGATACATGATACACGGACACACGTCATTGATACATGATACATGGATACATGATACACGGATACATGATACACGGATACATGAAAAACTGATACATGATACACGGACACACGTCATTGATACATTATACACGGATACATGATACACGGATATGTACAATGCAAACTTAATAGTAACGATGCTTCTCTAAATATGCTTCTTCTGTTAATATTACATTTGGATGTAGCATTGTTTTCTTTATCGTTAGCACTTTTACGTCATGGTGTCACCCCCACACCCTTGTAATAATTGTCGATTTGTACTTTATTTAGCTGTAATTAATCAATTAATGGAACAGGCAAAAAGCTTTTTCTGCTGTAAATTTTGCAATCTAATGCCATGGTGTCACCCCCCCCCCCCCACCCTAAGTAGTGTCAGACCCCCGCCCCGACCTCGCTACGCCTATATATATATATATATATATATATATATATATATATATATATATATATATATATATATATATATATATATATATATATATATATATATATATATATATATATATATATATATATATATATATATATACGTATTTCAGATGCAAATAATTCATTATCGAAGTGACTATAGAAGCCTAAATCAGGCAATACAGCAAAAGTTTAGTGTGGCAATTGTTTCTTTTTTGTTTAAGGTAAAAATAAATATGTGTGTTCTCTGTATGTGTCTGATTTTGTTTAGTATATCTCTATACTAAAACTCAAGTTTGTTTACATGTTTGAATATTTATTTGTTTTTTTTTTGTTTTGTTTTTTTGTTTGTCTGATTGAATACTGGAGAGAATTGGCGCTAGGTGGAGAGTTGTAATATAGTATGTAGGTAGAGAACAATTTTTGTTTTCAGACAGTCTGTTAATTACAAATTTATTTAAAGACGTTAATTAATTTTTGGTGTATTCATTGGTAGATGAACCACATTAATTTTTCAAACAATGGCTTTACCTTGACTGAATAGTGACGTCACATGAAATGTTTACTTTTTAGTACAATAAGATGGCGGCTTCCATCATAGACTTTGTGGCCCATTCAAAAGTTTAACGCGTTCTAAAGCTAATTTTCTGTCGGCCATAAATTTAACAATACGTCCGTTAGCTGTTTTTATTACGTTCCAACACTTATATAAATTTTCAACTGTCTTTTTTATTTAGTTTACAATAAATTTCTCTAGCTCTACAATCTGTCCGAGAAAGTTATCTATTTATTTATAGATCTAAATATCAGGTGGCCAAGAAAGTTATTTATAGATCTAGATCTAGAATCTAGGTCAAACCAAAGATTAATTAGTTACAAACCAAAGATTAATTAGATAAAAATACAATCCATTTTATAATCATAATACATTTTTAGTCCTTAAATATTTGATATAAAACTTTGTGATTTATCTATCTAGATCTAGATCTATCTAGCTAGAATAGGTCTAATGATTAGATCTAGATTCTAGATCTAGCTAGAGTTACGCAAAAACTAGACTCAAGACTTAAGCAAACGAGTCGTAGAATCTAGACCTAGATAATTCTATCTAGATCTAGATAATTTTAGACCTTCATTATTTTATATAAATCTTTGTTTGTTTAGCTATGTAATTGGCTAATTTAAGATAAAATTTAATTTGAAAGTTACTACTGCTAGACTTAGATCTAGATCTATGCGCGTAAATCAAGTATTAAACTACACTATAAAAAAACATCAGTGACTTCACGAGTTAAATAGCTAAGTTGTTAGTTTAATCGGCTTTCATGCGGGTGGCACGGGTTCTAGACCAATACGTCAATTGTTTTTTTTCCAATTTTTTTTTACTTTTAAGATGTGAATGATGAAGTTGCCTATCTGAACTTGGCGGTATACAGGGCAGGTGAGGTAGAGTTAATCTGTTTCTTTGTCCTAAGCATATGAAGGGATAGTGTGGTCAGAGACATGCTCGGCTGGAATAGTTTTTTTTTTAAACGATAAAAACATGCTGTCTGAGACTTGGCGGGACACTGGGCAGGTGAAGTAGAGTCGAGGAGGTCACCTGTGACGTCAGTATATGAAGGGATAGTCCGAAATCGGCGTTGTCGGTGTTTTTAAAAAATAAAAAACATCTTTTTGAATGTGGGGTCTGGTTTTTTTGTGACGATAAGTGACAGACGTGATGTTTTGTTATGGATTACCCCCGAAACCCACAGTTATCCAAGGGATGACGGGTAGACTAGTAATAGACTTAAAATTTGAGATTTAATTCACTCACGCCTTCTTTTTAGCATAAGTACCCGTTCCCTCCCCTCCCACGCTCTCCATCATCACGCGTAACAGAAGTCAGTCCCAAAAACTATGACGTTAGATTTCAGCTGACCACTCCACCCAACACCCGCCATAAATTTCCTTTCATTTCCCAAGGAGAAATAACCACGTTTGGATGCTTTAATCGAAAATTTTATTTTAGTAGTTTCCATTTGTAAGACCATTTTTACTTTCTCGTATATACGAAGTATAGAGAAAGTTTTGTAATCGTGCAAAAAAAAAATTGAGATTTTACAAATCTCGACGTTTTACACCTCACTGATACGGAAAAACATAATTTTGCAATCTTGACCGTATGTCTGTGTGTCTGTCTGTGTGTCTGTCTGTGTGTGTGTCTGTGTGTAAACACGATTACTTGAGTACCGTTGCAGCTAGGTTGATGAAATTTCATATATAAGTATTTTATCAAAATCGTAAATCCTGATCAACTTTTAAGCGATTTCCGATAACCGGAAGTGGTACTTTTTCTACTTTGAATTTTTCAAAAGCCTATAACTTGAGTAATATTTGAGATAGATAAATGAAATTTCATTTGTAAGTAAAAGATCTAATTCTCTACCTTCTGTCAAATTTTGAGTGATTTCCGTTGACCGGAAGTACTAATTTACGCTATTTCCGATTTCTCAAAAAACGCATGTAAATTTATAAAGTACTAATAATATTGGGCACTAATATGCACATTTTGTTTTGGCGTTCGCTTGGTGCGCAATTCTTTTTTCTATGAGATTCTATTGTATTTTTAAAAGTTTAAATAATTAAAAATCATGTCTATATTCCGAGTTATACAAGAATATTCGAGAAAGTTTAGGGGAGATCACTCCCGGTTTATTACCCCTAGATTTTTAAAACATTATTGTGGTCACTATTAAATTCATTAATACATTTTGATTATAGTTCATAAAAAAAAAGGATTTTTAAAAAGATGCTTAATTCAGTTTGATTTTTCAAAAAGCAACAGTAGGCCTTCCCGGCATAAAAACTAATCTTTCAGATATGCTAAACTACCCCTTATGTTTCTCAGTCCAATCAATATGTTGCAAATTACTAACACATGCATATATTGTATATCAACTAACTACTGCCTTATATACACAATGTAACAACGTGTAACATTAAGTCTGTTGTAGGTAGTCCATGAAGTGAATCCAGCGTTGGACAAGCTACTCAAATATTTACCCAACCTTACACAGCACAGTGAGTCCATTTTTGTTACAAGCTTTTATTTACTGAACAATGTCTGTCTGTTTGTGGGTTTATTTTGTCCCACTTCTACTGCAGCGATTTCTCTAAAACTTTCAATATATATTAATCCACGATTATTATGCTAGAATATATTTTCTCAATCTAATTTGAATTAAAAATAGCTAAATACAATTATAAGGGGGAGGGGGGATAACACGATTAAATAACAACGATTACTCGACGATGGTGAACTGTTTTTTTCACGGCTGAATGATTTTTCTCTACCACGGACTAAGAAGGAGCAGGTAATGCTCTTTGAGAGATTGCAAGCTACTGGTCGCAAATATTTTTTGTCGTAGCCTATATGGTGCCAACTTGATTTAGAAGAAATTACTGAAAAGTAGAAAATAAATAAAATATACAACCTTTATAATAACAAGCTTTGTCGTCCAAGAAGAACGTATCTGGAAAGTTTGAACGAAATCGCCGCATTAGAAGTAGGTCAAAAATTGAGTTACAAGATTTGTCACAAACCCACAGACAATGTGAACGAAGTGAAAGCTTGTATAAAACAAATTTTTGACAAATTAAACTTAATATTTTTAATAAACTAAAAGAAAATAAGACAAACAATCAGAGCGTTGGTCGCTAAAATATGCAACCAATTTCATGAACAATAAATACTTGGATTGCGGAAATAAAGTGTTATATTTTCTTACATTCAGCTCATTCTAAAGATTACGTTTATAGAGTTTTTTGTTTGTTTTATTTTTGCTTTGATGGTATAGAAATGTAGTCAATGTGTTAGTGAATATTGGCCAGTAAGGGGACATCTATTGGTGCAGCAGATCGTGTAAACTTTGGTAAATCTGATGTGTCTAAAGATACATGTCGTATAGCGATAAGCACCAAGGTCGCCAATCATAGAGGTGATGAAGTTGATGGTACAGATTATGGAATAGCTGATTATAAAGAAAATGGTACAGCCGATGGTAAAATGTTGGGGGTGGGGGGGGGGGGTAAAATTACATGATGGTAGAATTGATGTTAAAGCCGATTGTACATGGATGGTTCAAAAGATAAAAGGTACGTTTTTGCAACAACAAATATGACAGTCAAGTCTGATGCTGGCAAACATTCCAAAATAACTTCCTTTTTTCCAGACAGCACGTATGTACATGAATTTTCACTGTACGACCTTCTGCCTAGCACAGAGAAGATGAACTTTTACAGATACGAGGGCAGCTTGACCTACCCACCCTGTAGTGAGACGGTCATCTGGTCGGTGGCGGAACCTCTCATAAACATATCAAAATCACAGGTACTAGACGGTTGGCCGAACCTATCACAGGTACTAGACGGGTGGCCGAACCTATCACAGGTACTAGACGGGTGGCCCAACCTATCACAGGTACTAGACGGGTGGCCGAACCTATCACAGGTACTAGACGGGTGGCCGAACCTATCACAGGTACTAGACGGGTGGCCCAACCTATCACAGGTACTAGACGGGTGGCCCAACCTATCACAGGTACTAGACGGGTGGCCCAACCTATCACAGGTACTAGACGGGTGGCCGAACCTATCACAGTCACAGGTACTAGACGGGTGGCCGAACCTATCACAGGTACTAGACGGGTGGCCCAACCTATCACAGGTACTAGACGGGTGGCCGAACCTATCACAGGTACTAGACGGGTGGCCCAACCTATCACAGGTACTAGACGGGTGGCCCAACCTATCACAGGTACTAGACGGGTGGCCCAACCTATCACAGGTACTAGACGGGTGGCCCAACCTATCACAGGTACTAGACGGGTGGCCCAACCTATCACAGGTACTAGACGGGTGGCCGAACCTATCACAGTCACAGGTACTAGACGGGTAGCCGAACCTATCACAGGTACTAGACGGGTGGCCGAACCTATCACAGGTACTAGACGGGTGGCCGAACCTATCACAGGTACTAGACGGGTGGCCGAACCTATCACAGGTACTAGACGGGTGGCCCAACCTATCACAGGTACTAGACGGGTAGCCGAACCTATCACAGGTACTAGACGGGTGGCCGAACCTATCACAGTCACAGGTACTAGACGGGTGGCCGAACCTATCACAGGTACTAGACGGGTGGCCCAACCTATCACAGTCACAGGTACTAGACGGGTGGCCGAACCTATCACAGGTACTAGACGGGTGGCCGAACCTATCACAGGTACTAGACGGGTGGCCCAACCTATCACAGGTACTAGACGGGTGGCCCAACCTATCACAGGTACTAGACGGGTGGCCCAACCTACCACAGGTACTAGACGGGTGGCCCAACCTATCACAGGTACTAGACGGGTGGCCGAACCTATCACAGTCACAGGTACTAGACGGGTAGCCGAACCTATCACAGGTACTAGACGGGTGGCCGAACCTATCACAGGTACTAGACGGGTGGCCCAACCTATCACAGGTACTAGACGGGTGGCCCAACCTATCACAGGTACTAGACGGGTGGCCCAACCTATCACAGGTACTAGACGGGTGGCCCAACCTATCACAGGTACTAGACGGGTGGCCCAACCTATCACAGGTACTAGACGGGTGGCCGAACCTATCACAGTCACAGGTACTAGACGGGTAGCCGAACCTATCACAGGTACTAGACGGGTGGCCGAACCTATCACAGGTACTAGACGGGTGGCCGAACCTATCACAGGTACTAGACGGGTGGCCGAACCTATCACAGGTACTAGACGGGTGGCCCAACCTATCACAGGTACTAGACGGGTAGCCGAACCTATCACAGGTACTAGACGGGTGGCCGAACCTATCACAGTCACAGGTACTAGACGGGTGGCCGAACCTATCACAGGTATAAGACGGGTGGCCGAACCTATCACAGGTACTAGACGGGTGGCCCAACCTATCATAGGTACTAGACGGGTGGCCGAACCTATCACAGGTACTAGACGGGTGGCCCAACCTATCACAGTCACAGGTACTAGACGGGTGGCCGAACCTATCACAGGTACTAGACGGGTGGCCCAACCTATCACAGGTACTAGACGGGTAGCCGAACCTATCACAGGTACTAGACGGGTGGCCGAACCTATCACAGGTACTAGACGGGTCGCCCAACCTATCACAGGTACTAGACGGGTGGCCCAACCTATCACAGGTACTAGACGGGTGGCCGAACCTATCACAGGTACTAGACGGGTGGCCCTACCTATCACAGTCACAGGTACTAGACGGGTGGCCGAACCTATCACAGGTACTAGACGGGTGGCCCAACCTATCACAGGTACTAGACGGGTGGCCGAACCTATCACAAGTACTAGACGGGTGGCCGAACCTATCACAGTCACAGGTACTAGACGGGTTGCCGAACCTATCACAGGTACTAGACGGGTGGCCGAACCTATCACAGGTACTAGACGGGTGGCCGAACCTATCACAGGTACTAGACGGGTGGCCGAACCTATCACAGGTACTAGACGGGTGGCCCAACCTATCACAGTCACAGGTACTAGACGGGTGGCCGAACCTATCACAGGTACTAGACGGGTGGCCCAACCTATCACAGGTACTAGACGGGTGGCCCTACCTATCACAGGTACTAAACGGGTGGCCCAACCTATCACAGGTATTAGACGGGTGGCCGAACCTATCACAGTCACAGGTACTAGACGGGTGGCCGAACCTATCACAGGTACTAGACGGGTGGCCGAACCTATCACAGGTACTAGACGGGTGGCCGAACCTATCACAGGTACTAGACGGGTGGCCCAATCTATCACAGGTACTAGACGGGTGGCCGAACCTATCACAGGTACTAGACGGGTGGCCCAACCTATCACAGGTACTAGACGGGTGGCCCAACCTATCACAGGTACTAGACGGGTGGCCCAACCTATCACAGGTACTAGACGGGTGGCCCAACCTATCACAGTCACAGGTACTAGACGGGTAGCCGAACCTATCACAGGTACTAGACGGGTGGCCCAACCTATCACAGTCACAGGTACTAGACGGGTGGCCGAACCTATCACAGGTACTAGACGGGTGGCCGAACCTATCACAGGTACTAGACGGGTGGCCCAACCTATCACAGGTACTAGACGGGTGGCCCAACCTATCACAGGTACTAGACGGGTGGCCCAACCTACCACAGGTACTAGACGGGTGGCCCAACCTATCACAGGTACTAGACGGGTGGCCCGACCTATCACAGGTACTAGACGGGTGGCCGAACCTATCACAGTCACAGGTACTAGACGGGTAGCCGAACCTATCACAGGTACTAGACGGGTGGCCGAACCTATCACAGGTACTAGATGGGTGGCCGAACCTATCACAGTCACAGGTACTAGACGGGTGGCCGAACCTATCACAGGTACTAGACGGGTGGCCGAACCTATCACAGGTACTAGACGGGTGGCCGAACCTATCACAGGTACTAGACGGGTGGCCGAACCTATCATAAACATATCACAGTCGTGGGATAACTGTGTTTTACTTGCCATTTATGTAATGAGATAATTAAAATAAACCTCGATGGTTTTTTTTTTGTTCTTGATCAAATTTGAGGTTTTTAGATCTTAATATAATATGAAGTTTTTTAGGTCTTGATAAAAAATAACCTTGAGGATTTTAGATTTTGGTTCAATAATATGACCTATGTGTTTTTAGGTATTGATAAAATATGACCTTGATATTTTTAGGTATTGATAAAATATGACCTTGATGTTTTTAGGTATAGATAAAATATGACCTTGATATTTTAAGGTATTGATAAAATATGACCTTGATATTTTTAGGTATTGATAAAATATGACCTTGATGTTTTTAGGTATAGATAAAATATGACCTTGAGATGCTGACATACTTTTCTCTCTCCGGGCAGTTGGAACAGTTTTACCAGTTCAACCCGAACACCTTCAAGTCATTACACAACAACCGCGCAATACAACCTCTCAACGGTCGCATTGTACTCACCACCAAGGTCAACCAGCGGACAAGAAAGAGCAAAAATGGCGCTGGCACCAGGGCCTCTGTCTGCCAGAAGTTGTTGTCGTCTGCTCTGGTCCTGGCCGTGAGTTGGGTTTCCTTGTAGTCCCAGACCGTCTGGAGGAAAATTCCAGTATGGCGCTCAGTCGACGTCATCGACGTGACGACACGCATCATGTAGTCACGTGAGCACAGCTCAACAAACTTGGTTCACGTCAGGCGATACAAACAGGAAGTTCCACGTCATCCGCGACATGACAAGCTCGAGACAAGCAGTCCGTGACCACGGAGGTCACTGTCTTCATAGGTCACAAGGTCAAATAAAACTGGTCCCATTTCTAATGAATTTCTTGATCATCACTTCAAAGACCCACAAGGTCAAATAAACTGGTCCCATTTCTAATGAATTTCTTGATCGTCACTTCAAAGACCCACAAGGTTAAATAAAACTGGTCGCTGAGTATGTTATCTTGTAAAGAAATGTGATTTCCCTCGCTAAAGATCGAATAGATGTTCGCAGGCTGTGATTTAGAACAAGCTAATATGTTTTCAAATGTTCGTCTGTGTGACTGTAAAGATGGGTGACTATGTTAAGATATGTGAGGAGATGTTTTTAACGTGTGTGAATATGAAAAGATGTGTGATTGTGTAGTAAAATGTATGGCTTTGTATAAAAAAATGTATGAATATGAAAAAGAAATCTGTAAATTGTAATAAATGAAATCACCTGCTCCAACAATTCTGCACTTCATAAATAACAGATGCGCCATCTATTAATTACGTGTATTTTGTTTATATAGTAATAGCGTACCCTACCTGTCTAAGAAGAAAGGCTGACGCAATATTTTACGAGGATTTCATTAATGCGTTACCAATAGTGTTTTTTTTTAATGTTAGATGCGTGACTTCTTTTCCAAAACTGGTTTGTTGAAATGTAAATAAAGCAGGTGCTAAGTCCTCTAGTTCTTGGATTTTGGCTGTTGTGGCGCAGGTTTGAACATACGGACCTTGCTTGGTTAAATCTTCGAGTTTCGTGGGTCACCGTTTCCATATGATACGGTGCTCTTTAAAACAAATATAGGAGCCGTAGTGCTCACTAGGGAGCTAACTATTATAATAGTCCATCGTATCCATAGTGTATGGCATTCTTTATAACAAACGTAGAAGCAGCATTGCTCACGAGGGTGCCTCGGGGCGCCAAAGTGAACAATGCCGGGTCGCCGCCCCTCCGAAATTTTATTTTATTTCACATAAACTTTACCAAGAGTATTATTACCAACTTCCTATACCTGTATATATATATATATATATATATATATATATATATATATATATATATATATATATATATATATATATATATATATATATATAGTATAATATAATATATTGAAGGGTTATAACTGTTAAATATTGGACGGTTCAAAATAAGCTTCGATTATTTCCCTTCCCTTACCCAAATCTCAGAAAATTCATCAGTAAACGGTATTTTCGAAGTCCTCCATTAAAAAAAAAAATTTGTGTGTGCAAATTGTCAACATAACAAAAAAAAAACGGGACTGCTTTCTTTAGTTCCGTTTACTAGCAAACTTGATTATTAAGTTTTTAAGGAAAATAGATTACATCAAGTTTGACTTAACTGGATGCCCAATTATTTTTTTATTAATTAATTACAATTTTCTGAAATTAGTAGGCCGTCCTACTACTCTTTCTGCACTATTTTACGCGCACTATCATGTTCATTTGTTGCGCAATAGTTTTTTTTCATGCAACTCTATTGAAATTTTTTTTAATTTGAGTACCGAAAAAAAAATGCCGTTAAAAAGTTTTAATAATAAGCTTTTATGTTATAATGCACTAAAAAGGTGAAATTAAATTATATTATTATTTAAATATTTTATAATACACCACTATTTATATAACTATAAAGAAAAGGTATCCCATAGATAATGTAGTGACCCACGCTTTTCTTTATAGTTATTTAAATAGTAGTGTATTATTATATATTTATCTTCTTCTTTTTAGCTTGTTATTAAAACGTTTTGTATGCATGTTTATATTTTTGCCGCTTGATGAACACATCGAAACAGCTCACACTGTTAGAATTCTTCTTGCCACCTACTCTAGGCTGACTGTTGGGGCACCACTAGTGCCTCACTGATTGTCTTCTTTTTTCTCCGGGGGGGGGGGGGGGGAGTACATGAAATTTTTTAAAGGGGCGGACTAAAATTTCCGGGAGGGGGGGTGGACACTAAAAATATTTTTTTTCTGTATAAAATCCATTTCGTTGGGGAGGGGGGGGGGGTCGGACTACCAGGCATCACTTCGGGGTGGGGGGGGGTGGTCGGACTACATCCCACCCTGGAGAGATGCCTGGAAGAAGCACTGCTTCTTCATTTCTCAGTGCCTCTCCCAGCGTCAGACCCGTCCATTGCTCTCATTACCTCCCTTACCCTACTCTCTTCCGTTTTCCCTGCACCATTGGCGAAGTTAGAGAGGGGGGGGGGGGGGGCAGATGATGCTCCTGGTGCAGAATTGAACAGTAACCCCGGAAAATATCTAGACTTTCACTAAGGGTAGGGAGGGGGGTGAAGAATGGGGGTGACAGTTTAAAAACGACACACGTATACCCCTCAACAATTGAAATCAATTGTCTTTTTTTTCTGTCACCTTTGTCCTATCAGATTATTTTTGCGACTTTTGTCCTATATTCCCCCCCCCCCCCCCCCCCCCCGAACAGTGTGGCCTACATAGGACGTAGATAAGACCGAGCGAGATTTAAATTTCAAATCTGTCGATGAATTGTGTGGGAGAGGGGGGGATAAGGGGATTTCCCTGAGTTTCTGTTGATATATGACACACTAATTTGATCCTGCACGTTGGAATTTGGCGCCTGGAGGAATGTCTTTTGACGGTGACTACTCAAGCGTGGAAAAGCCGTAAAATGGCTGGTATCTGTGTGGCTGGTATCTGTGTCAACAAGGTTCAGTGTGTGCTGATAACACGTGTTCCAACTACACGGTAGGTGGCCGGGGCCAGTCTTAACCAAATATAGTGATTGAACAGTAGGCCATCTAACCGGCTGTGTCGGGTATGTGGCTGTGTTGATTTCTGTTGGCTGTCGTGTGTCGGGTATGTGGCTGTGTTGGCTGTCGTGTGTCGGGTATGTGGCTGTGTTGATTTCTGTTGGCTGTCGTGTGTCGGGTATGTGGCTGTGTTGATTTCTGTCGTGTGTCGGGTATGTGGCTGTGTTGGCTGTCGTGTGTCGGGTATGTGGCTGTGTTGGCTGTCGGGTATGTGGCTGTGTTGGCTGTCGTGTGTCGGGTATGTGGCTGTGTTGGCTGTCGGGTATGTGGCTGTGTTGGCTGTCGTGTGTCGGGTATGTGGCTGTGTTGGCTGTCGTGTGTCGGGTATGTGGCTGTGTTGGCTGTCGTGTGTCGGGTATGTGGCTGTGTTGGCTGTCGTGTGTCGGGTATGTGGCTGTGTTGGCTGTCGGGTATGTGGCTGTGTTGGCTGTCGTGTGTCGGGTATGTGGCTGTGTTGGCTGTCGTGTGTCGGGTATGTGGCTGTGTTGGCTGTCGTGTGTCGGGTATGTGGCTGTGTTGGCTGTCGGGTATGTGGCTGTGTTGGCTGTCGGGTATGTGGCTGTGTTGGCTGTCGTGTGTCGGGTATGTGGCTGTGTTGGCTGTCGGGTATGTGGCTGTGTTGGCTGTCGTGTGTCGGGTATGTGGCTGTGTTGGCTGTCGTGTGTCGGGTATGTGGCTGTGTTGGCTGTCGTGTGTCGGGTATGTGGCTGTGTTGGCTGTCGGGTATGTGGCTGTGTTGGCTGTCGGGTATGTGGCTGTGTTGGCTGACGTGTGTCGGGTATGTGGCTGTGTTGGCTGTCGGGTATGTGGCTGTGTTGGCTGTCGTGTGTCGGGTATGTGGCTGTGTTGGCTGTCGTGTGTCGGGTATGTGGCTGTGTTGGCTGTCGGGTATGTGGCTGTGTTGGCTGTCGTGTGTCGGGTATGTGGCTGTGTTGGCTGTCGGGTATGTGGCTGTGTTGGCTGACGTGTGTCGGGTATGTGGCTGTGTTGGCTGACGTGTGTCGGGTATGTGGCTGTGTTGATTTCTGTGGCTGTCGTGTGTCGGGTATGTGGCTGTTTTGTGTTAACTAGATAGGCCTACCAACCTAGATAGATATTTTCCACTACCAATGTCTAGACCTACACCAAAATAAGAGCATCTGTTTGAGAGATGCGTAGACCAAGAGAGATTGTAAAGCTACAGAGTTTGAGATTAATAGCCAATAGTCTACTCTAAACATTTCACACATAATTTCTTCAAGCAATGTAAAGTCGGCACCTAATTGTCTGAACTAAAGGAGTAACATTGAATTAACGAGACCTAATTCCGTGTAAGCGATCGGGTTGGAACTATTACAGTTAGATAATGATGTTAATTAGACATACGATTATGTTATCTTGTTTAGGCTGTTCGTTAATTTAATTATGCAATTAATGTGTGAGATGAGTGATATGTAGGCCTAATGCTGTGGTGTGTTAATTCAACAACACAGTGCTGTCTTATACATTACAGTCAACATCACTGTGCTGTCTGATGCATTACTGTTAACATCACTGCGCTGTCTTATACAGTCAACATCACTGTGCTGTCTTATACAGTCAACATCACTGTTTTGTCTTATACAGTCAACATCACTGTGCTGTCTTATACAACATTACAGTCAACATCACTGTGCTGTTTTTAACAACATTACAGTCAACATCACTGTGCTGTCTTATACAACATTACTGTCAACATCACTGTGCTGTCTTATGCATTACAGTCAACATCACTGTGCTGTCTTATACAGTCAACATCACTGTGCTGTCTTATACAGTCAACATCACTGTGCTGTCTTATACAGTCATCATCACTGTGCTGTCTTTTACATTACAGTCAACATCACTGTGCTGTCTTATACATTACAGTCAACATCACTGTGCTGTCTTATACAGTCAACATCACTGTGCTGTCTTATACAGTAAACATCACTGTGCTGTCTTATACATTACAGTCAACATCACTGTGCTGTCTTATACATTACAGTCAACATCACTGTGCTGTCTTATACAGTCAACATCACTGTGCTGTCTTATACAACATTATTGTCAACATCACTGTGCTGTCTTATACAGTCAACATCACTGTGCTGTCTTATACAGTCAACATCACTGTGCTGTCTTATACATTACAGTCAACATCACTGTGCTATCTTATACAGTCAACATCACTGTGCTGCTTATACAGTCAACATCACTGTGCTGTCTTATACAGTCAACATCACTGTGCTGTCTTATACATTACAGTCAACATCACTGTGCTGTCTTATACAGTCAACATCACTGTGCTGTCTTATACAGTCAACATCACTGTGCTGTCTTATACAGTCAACATCACTGTGCTGTCTTATACAGTCAACATCACTGTGCTGTCTTATACAGTCAACATCACTGTGCTGTCTTATACATTACAGTCAACATCACTGTGCTGTCTTATACAGTCAACATCACTGTGCTGTCTTATACAGTCAATATCACTGTGCTGTCTTATACAGTCAACATCACTGTGCTGTCTTATACATTACAGTCAACATCACTGTGCTGTCTTATACAGTCAACATCACTGTGCTGTCTTATACAACATTACAGTCAACATCACTTTGCTGTCTTATACAGTAAACATCACTGTGCTGTCTTATACATTACAGTCAACATCACTGTGCTGTCTTATACATTACAGTCAACATCACTGTGCTGTCTTATACAGTAAACATCACTGTGCTGTCTTATACAGTCAACATCACTGTGCTGTCTTACACAATATGTCCACATTCCTTATCTTGGCCTAGCTCGTCTCAAGTTTCTGGATAGACATCAGGATGTAAACTATATGCACCAGTGACGCGGATATGTGACATATGAGCGGCGTAGTTATGTTGACTATAGGACTATTTAAGACCTATTAGTATATTTTGCGTAGATGTAGGCCAATAGATTGTAGAAAAAAGTCAAATGAAAAAAGTTACAAACCAGGACACAATTAACTAAATACATTTTACATATAGGCCTATATATATATATATATATATATATATATATATATATATATATATATATATATATATATGTGGGTGTGTGGACGGACAAGGACGACTGAAGAAAGACCTACGGCAAAAAACAAACAAATTCTTTTTTCTACCGGGTATTCAAATATGTATGTGACAAAATTTGAGGCGGCTTTCTAAATTACCTTATAGCCTAGCTAGTATCTTTACTTACCAGAAATATAAAAGTCGATTGTTATTATAAACCACAATGCTTTTAAGTTTATAAATATATTACTAAAAAAACACCACCAATATCTACAAACACCCACACGTGTATAGTTCTCGGGTAAATCAAAATATTTGTTAATACACATTTGTGACTTTGCTATTGTGACTTTTCCTAACAGAAATTGTAACGTTTTTCCTAACAAAATTGTGACTTTTTTCCTAACAAAAAAAAAAGAAGAATTTATATAGAAAAGTCTGGAAGAAACATTGTTGACGCCACTGGCACTTAGTGTAGCCGTTTCCCTTCATATGCTGAGGGCACAGAAACAGGTGAACTCTACTTCACTTGCCACATTGACCGTCAGGTTTGAATAGGTAACTGTGCACTGATGTGAAGCAGCACCCCAGACTTCTATTCCAGGCAACAAGCCGGGGCATGGTGATGCAAGTTTTATCTCTGCTAATGAAACCACTTACTTTTTTCATCTAGTCCAAGTCAACTTGATTAACATAATTGTAGCTGAATATTTTAGATTCGCTTTTTATTACTTGACTTGTGGTTTGTTTAGTTACAACTGTATGTTGGCTACACCGCCTTATGGGGTAGCTGCCATAGCTGACACCACATACAGATGTATGTCCCACCCTGGACCACCACATACAGATGTATGTCTGCACCACCACATACAGATGTATGTCCCACCCTACACCACCACATACAGATGTATGTCCCACTCTACACCACCACACACAGATGTATGTCTGCACTACCACATACAGATGTATGTCTGCACTACCACATACAGATGTATGTCTGCACTACCACATACAGATGTATGTCCCACTCTACACCACCACATACAGATGTATGTCTGCACTACCACATACAGATGTATGTCTGCACTACCACATACAGATGTATGTCTGCACTACCACATACAGATGTATGTCTGCACCACCACATACAGATGTATGTCCCACCCTGCACTACCACATACAGATTTATGTCTGCACCACCACATACAGATTTATGTCTGCACCACCACATACAAATGTATGTCCCACTCTACACCACCACATACAGATGTATGTCTGCACTACCACATACAGATGTATGTCTGCACTACCACATACAGATGTATGTCTGCACTACCACATACAGATTTATGTCTGCACCACCACATACAGATTTATGTCTGCACCACCACATACAGATTTATGTCTGCACCACCACATACAGATGTATGTCTGCACCACCACATACAGATGTATGTCTGCACCACCACATACAGATGTATGTCCCACTCTGCACCACCACATACAGATTTATGTCTGCACCACCACATACAGATTTATGTCTGCACTACCACATACAGATTTATGTCTGCACTACCACATACAGATGTATGTCTGCACCACCACATACAGATGTATGTCCCACCCTACACCACCACAAACAGATGTATGTCTGCACTACCACATACAGATTTATGTCTGCACCACCACATACAGATTTATGTCTGCACTACCACATACAGATGTATGTCTGCACCACCACATACAGATGTATGTCTGCACCACCACATACAGATGTATGTCCCACTCTGCACCACCACATACAGATTTATGTCTGCACTACCACATACAGATGTATGTCTGCACCACCACATACAGATGTATGTCCCACTCTGCACCACCACATACAGATTTATGTCTGCACTACCACATACAGATGTATGTCCCACCCTACACCACCACATACAGATGTATGTCCCACCACATACAGATGTATGTCCCACCCTACACTACCACATACAGATGTATGTCCCACCCTAGACCACCACATACAGATGTATGTCTGCACCACCACATACAGATGTATGTCTGCACCACCACATACAGATGTATGTCTGCACCACCACATACAGATGTATGTCCCACCCTGCACTAACCGCGACATGTGACACCGAGACCAGACGAGAGAGATTGTTCTAGCGTCGTTTTGTTTGTTCCAGTAGAGCGGTACCAAATGGAGGTCAGCTTGTGCCAGCACCACACATGCCGGTGACCTCCGTCAGCTGATGGCGAGGCCAGGTTTAGACCACATCTGTTTCTACCTCCTGCCGGCTCTGCTCGTGTATCCAGTCCTCTCACACGATGGAGGTAAGAAAAGAGTTTAACCTTTTATTTTTTTACCTCACACCTCCATCTGTGAGCATCCTCTTCACCTTCTTGCTCCCCATATTGGACCCGATTTGTTTATATTGTCCTGATGTAGGAAATTTAAAGAATCAACCGCTGGTAAAACTGCTAGGTTACGTATTTCAAACGTCGATTGAGTTTATGGAACAATTCGAAATTTTGAACAAACATGCATTGTTTTTTCCTGTTTCAAGTCGCTGCATGGTAATGTTCTAATTTGCCAATTAGGCAATAACAATACCCCTCTACCCGATGGATCTTAACCTGATTTTTCTAGTTTTTCACATTAGGCTCCCTAACGTGGAACAAATTTAGGGAGTCGTTGGTTTAAGTATAAATAGTATAACGTTGTTTTTTTTTTATCTAAATGTTTCACGTGTATTTTATTTATTAATCGATCGGTATTATCTCTATTCCCCTCCCCATTAAATCGCTGTGTCTGGTGTATAGAGTGGAACTACGACCCAAGGGGACCAGATGGTAAGTGGTGGTAGTTGTGGTTGTGGTGTGTGGTTGTGATGTGAGGTCGTGAACTGTGGTGTGTGGTTGTGGACTGTGACGTGTGTTTGTGGACTGTAGTGTGTGGTTGTGGACTGTGGTGTGTGGTTGTGGACTGTGGTTGTGGACTGTGGTGTGTGGTTGTGGACTGTGATGTGTGGTTGTGGACTGTGGTGTGTGGTTTTGGACTGTGGTGTGTGGTTGTGGACTGTGGTTGTGGACTGTGGTTGTGGACTGTGGTGTGTGGTTGTGGACTGTGGTGTGTGGTTGTGGACTGTGGTGTGTGGTTGTGGACTGTGGTGTGTGGTTGTGGAATGTGGTGTGTGGACTGTGGCGTGTGGTTGTGGACTGTGGCAGGTCTCCAGCGACTGTGGCCAAATTGTGTTGTACAGATGCAGGTATTTAGCGGCTTGTTTGATCAGGCTACTCGCCCAGTCTCCGGTGTTTGAACTAACAAGGAGCAATCTCCTCGCCTAGCGACACATATACGTGTGTGACGTCATTAGCAATCTCCTAGCCTAACGACATATATGTGTGTGACGTCATTAGCACTCTCCTAGCCTAGCGACACATATATGTGTCTATGTGACAGTAGGTGTCCTAGCGACTCACATGTTTGTGTGACGCTAGCAATCTCCTAGCGACACATACGTCTGCGTGTGACGTCAGTAGAAATGTTCTAGCGACACATAAGCGCCAAAGAAAACCAGCATCTGATACTGATGACGTCATTGAAATATTTGAAACAATTCTTGCACTACGTGATTCTGACAAAGCCTGCACTGGTCTATAACTGTTAAAACTTAAAAATAAAACCGTGTACCTTTAGGTGACCCAAAGTTCTGTCCCCTCATGCAGGCCCCAGTCACTGGTACCAAAAGTACCCACAATGTGCTGGAAGTTTCCAGTCTCCCATAGAGATCTCGACTGATGAAGTGGTCTACGACCCCACACTGGCGGCACTGGACCTGTCCGACTACAGCAACACTAGGGACGTCAAGATGAGACTAGTCTACCTGGAGGGTCACACAGGTCAGTCTGGTGGTCTCATGGTGGTCAGTGGTGGTCTCATGTAGGTCAGTCTGTTGGTGTCATGGTGGTCAATGCTGATGTCATGTAAGTCAGTGGTTGTGTCATGTAGGTCAGTCTAGTGGTGTCATGTAGGTCAGTGGTGGTGTAGTGTAGGTCAGTCTAGTGGTGTCATGGTGGTCAATGGTGATGTCATGTAGGTCAGTCTAGTGGTGTCATGTAGGTCAGTGGTGGTGTAGTGTATGTCAGTCTCTGGTGGTGGTGTAGTGTAGGTCAGTGGTGGTGTCATGTAGGTCAGTCTAGTCTCATGGTGGTCAGTGGTGGTCTCATGTAGATCAGTCTGGTGGTGTCATGTAGGTCAGTGGTGGTGTAGTGTAGGTCAGTGGTGGTGTCATGTAGGTCAGTCTGGTGGTGTCATGGTGGTCATTCTGGTGGTGTTATTATGGTCAGTCTAGTGGTGTCATGTAGGTCAGTGGTGGTGTTATGTAGGTCAGTCTGGTGGTGTCATGGTGGTCAGTGGTGGTGTCATGTAGGTCAGTCTGGTGGTGTCATGTAGGTCAGTGGTGGTGTAGTGTAGGTCAGTGGTGGTGTCATGTAGGTCAGTCTGGTGGTGTCATGGTGGTCATTCTGGTGGTGTCATGTAGTCAATGGTGGTGTCGTGTAGGTCAGTCTAGTGGTGTCATGTAGGTCAGTCTGGTGTAGTCATGTAGGTCAGTGTTGCCTTAGTTCCTGGAACTATCAGATGTTGTGCTACACTAGCCCTCACGGGTTCTTATACTGGTCTACAAAATACTCTTCTTCACACAGAGGTCATAAAGACCTTCTGAGATCTAACGCCTAATTACACATATTCTACAACCTTCATCCCCCACCCCTTCACTTATTTAAAGGTTACATTATATCTATCCTCAACCCATATCGAGCTGCTATTTTTAGCTTCAGCTAATGGAAACAGTTCTAATTGGCTTGTCTTACAAGTGAAGAGAAAGACGTATATAACTTTTTTGGACCTTTACCAAACTGTGTTATCATAACAATCTGTCTTGCTTTAGGGCTCGCTTCTTTCATGGTAAAGACATTGTTGCAGATGAAGCTGTTTTCTAATGAATACCTCATGACGTGGTAGCCTGATTTAGACCAGAATTGAATTTCTTCCAGCCATCTCTTCGGGGGGGGGGGGGGCGGCAAAACCCCACCGAAAAAATTCTACCGCCCCCCCCCCCCCCCCGAACGAAATGAAATTTATATAATTTATATAGAAAATATATACTTTTACCAGTGTCCGCCCCCCGAAGAAAGTCTACCGCCCCCCCCCCCGAAAATTTCTAGTACCCCCCCCCCCCCCCCCCCGGAGAAAAATGTCTGGAAGAAACACTGCTTTAGACCTCTATGCTTGTGGGGGTTGTATGTTTGTAACCTTGTCATATTCATTGAGCTTAACATCCAATGCTGTAAAAAGTGGCTGTGTGACGTAATATCGCCACGTCAGTTAAAAGCATGACGACATTTATCCAGGACGTGTTTGCCCTTATTTTATGACGTGTTAATTTTGTGATATGATGCGTTTATGTCGTCATTTGAGGTGTTAATGTCGTGTTTTGACGTGTTAATGTCGTGTTTTGGCGTGTTTATTTCGTCATTTGACGTGTTAATGTCGTGATATGACGTGTTATGACGTGTTAATGTCGTGATATGACGTGTTAATGTCGTATTTTGCAGTCCAGCTAATCTTCTCCGGCAAACCTTTATACCTGCGGGGCGGGGGTTTGAGTGGCGAGTACCAGCTTGACCAGCTCCACTTCCACTGGGGGTCATCGGCTGCTAGTGGCTCGGAACATCTGGTCGACTGGAAGAGTTATCCGCTGGAGGTGAGCGTGCATGTTGATACGTGGTTGACATGTTGATACGTGGTTGATATGTTGATACGTGGTTGACATGTTGATACGTGGTTGACATGTTGATACGTGGTTGACATGTTGATACGTGGTTGATACGTGGTTTACGTGTTTAAATGTGGTTTACGTGTTGATACATGTTGATACTTGGTTGATACGTGGTTGACATGTTGATACGTGGTTGACATGTGGTTTACATGTTGATACGTGGTTTATATGTTGATACGTAATACGTGGTTCATATGTTAATACGTGGTTGACATGTTGATATGTGGTTTACATGTTGATACGTGGTTTATATGTTGATACGTGGTTGAAATGTTGATACGTGGTTGACATATTGATACGTGGTTGACATGTTGATACGTGGTTGACATGTTGATACGGTGGTTGCCGCATGTTCCGTGCCGTCTCAGTTGTGTAGTGTGATAATTTTATAGGAAGTATAAATTATGTAGAATAATTTAAATACAAATATATTACTGTCGTTTATTACGTGTATAGATATGTACTGTACGAACTGTGTGTGCACCTCTGTAATATATTCACTAGTGTGTGCACCTCTGTAATATATTCACTAGTGTGTGCACCTCTGTAATATATTCACTAGTGTGTGCACCTCTGTAATATATTCACTAGTGTGTGCACCTCTGTAATATATTCACTAGTGTGTGCACCTCTGTAATATATTCACTAGTGTGTGCACCTCTGTAATATATTCACTAGTGTGTGCACCTCTGTAATATATTCACTAGTGTGTGCACCTCTGTAATATATTCACTAGTGTGTGCACCTCTGTAATATATTCACTAGTGTGTGCACCTCTGTAATATATTCAGTAGTGTGTGCACCTCTGTAATATATTCACTAGTGTGTGCACCTCTGTAATATATTCACTAGTGTGTGCACCTCTGTATTATATTCACTAGTGTGTGCACCTCTGTAATATATTCACTAGTGTGTGCACCTCTGTAATATATTCACTAGTGTGTGCACCTCTGTAATATATTCACTAGTGTGTGCACCTCTGTAATATATTCACTAGTGTGTGCACCTCTGTAATATATTCACTAGTGTGTGCACCTCTGTAATATATTCACTAGTGTGTGCACCTCTGTAATATATTCACTAGTGTGTGCACCTCTATAATATATTCACTAGTGTGTGTCGTTTGTCGCCAGCTTCACATAGTCCACCACCAGCGAAAGATGGGGAACTTTACGGTAGCCTCGTCTCAACCCTACGGTGTGGCCGTACTAGGCATTTTGTTCAAACTAAGTCAGTGATATTTTATTATACGTTTTTTTGTATTGTCAGTCACACTTTAATATTATTGGGACCTAATAGATATGTATCTTTAAAGTCTGTTCTACATCGCCAGTCCACCCCTGCTGGTGTCTGATTGGACGCCATGTTTGTTTTGAAGAGATCTATATCCTGTAACGTCGAATATAAATTAAATTTATTTTTAATATTGTCCTTTCTTCTAACCAACAGGCAAAGTTAAAAACGAAAACTGGGATAAATTTCTCGGGTATTTAAAACAAGTCCCGTCACCGGGTGAGTAATAGAGGTTAGTCGCTAGTAATGTAAGGGTGCTAAAAGTACCAGAATATGAATGATCGATTCCAGTGTGTGAGAGATGGACGATACCAGTGTTTACCAATTTTAAATGAAGGTAGTACCAGAATATGAATGATCGATTCCAGTGTCTGAGAGGTGGACGATACCAGTGTTTACCAATTTTAAATGAAGGTAGTACCAGAATATGAATGATCGATTCCAGTGTCTGAGAGGTGGACGATACCAGTGTTTACCAATTTTAAATGAAGGTAGTACCAGAATATGAATGATCGATTCCAGTGTCTGAGAGGTGGACGATACCAGTGTTTACCAATTTTAAATGAAGGTAGTACTAGAATATGAATGATCGATTCCAGTGTCTGAGAGGTGGACGATACCAGTGTTTGACAATTTTAAATGAAGGTAGTACCAGAATATGAATGATCGATTCCAGTTTATGAGAGGTGGACGATACCAGTGTTTACCAATTTTAAATGAAGGTAGTACCAGAATATGAATGATCGATTCCAGTGTATGAGAGATGGACGATACCAGTGTTTGCCAATTTTAAATGAAGGTAGTACCAGAATATGAATGATCGATTCCAGTGTTTGAGAGGTGGACGATACCAGTGTTTACCAATTTTAAATAAAGGTTGTACCAGAATATGAATGATCGATTCCAGTGTCTGATAGGTGGACGATACCAGTGTTTACCAATTTTAAATGAAGGTAGTATCAGAATATGAGTGATCGATTCCAGTGTTTGAGAGATGGACGATACCAGTGTTTGACAATTTTAAATGAAGGTAGTACTAGAATATGAATGATCGATTCCAGTGTCTGAGAGGTGGACGATACCAGTGTTTGCCAATTTTAAATGACGGTAGTATCAGAATATGAGTGATCGATTCCAGTGTGTGAGAGATGGACGATACCAGTGTTTGCCAATTTTAAATGACGGTAGTATCAGAATATGAATAATCGATTCCAGTGTCTGAGAGGTGGACGATACCAGTGTTTGCCAATTTTAAATGAAGGTAATCGTGTATGGCCCCAACAGGTGACGAGTACGATGTCCCCACGTTTGCCCTCAAAGACCTGATTCCGTCGTCTGCTGGTAAAAACTTCTACCGTTATATTGGCAGTTTGACCACGCCTCCATGTACCCAGCCGGTCATTTGGTCAATAGCTGCCAACTTTATAGAGCTGTCTGACTCACAGGTAAATCAATGTAGCCTAATTATAGATGGCGACATTTGGACATGGCATACGTGATTTGTAGGAGTTGTACAATTCTACGTTTTCAAAAAGCAGATTCGTAAATAAACGAATGTCTGAATGCGCTACTCGCGCAGATGTGAGTTGTACATTAATGAAGAGTTGTCCTTCCCCAGCTGCTGGCGGTGCACAGATTCCGTGACCAAAACGGGGCGCTACTGGAGGACACCTACAGACACATCCAGAACCTGGAGGGACGGAGAGTTCTCACCACGATAAGACGTTACCCTTACAACAGGGCCACCCACACGATTGGCCAACCGGTTCTCTTAGTATTAGGTTTAATCTTACTTTATGGATAAGATTAAAGGTTTTTTTATTACTTCCCTTTGTTGTTTTCTTTGTGAAACTTGTCAACTAGCCAGCTGCTGTGGGTTGGTGTCATAGGGTTGCTACAGGTGTGGGTTGGTGTCATAAGGTTGGCACAGGTGTGGGTTGGTGTCATAAGGTTGGCACATGTGTGGGTTGGTGTCATAAGGTTGCTACAGGTGTGGGTTGGTGTCATAAGGTTGGCACATGTGCAGGTTGGTGTCATAGGGTTGCTACAGGTGTGGGTTGGTGTCATAAGGTTGGCACATGTGTGGGTTGGTGTCATAAGGTTGCTACAGGTGTGGGTTGGTGTCATAAGGTTGGCACATCTGTGGGTTGGTGTCATAAGGTTGGCACAGCTGTGGGTTGGTGTCATAAGGTTGGCACATCTGTGGGTTGGTGTCATAAGGTTGGCACAGCTGTGGGTTGGTGCCATAAAGTTGCTACAGGTGTGGGTTGGTGTCATAAGGTTGCTACAGGTGTGGGTTGGTGTCATAAAGTTGCTACAGCTGTGGGTTGGTGCCATAAGGTTGCTACAGGTGTGGGTTGGTGCCATAAAGTTGCTACAGGTGTGGGTTGGTGTCATAAGGTTACTACAGGTGTGGGTTGGTCACCACAATGGGCATGACAAGTCAATGTAATCATATTACATTTTTAAAAAAAATTTTTAAACATGGCAAGGATAAAATTATAGTTACATTTGTAAAAATTAAAGCAGTTGGGAACCATCAACTACATTCACTTTGATATTTTTGTATTAAAGCTGTTGTATCATTTCAAATGTTTTCAAGGGAACAGGGCATTTCCCCCGTCAATTACCCCCAGACATTACCCCCTTGTCAATTACCCAGTAGGACATTACCCCCCCCCCCCCCCCCCGGGATGAGTTAGGTTTAAGGTTAGGATTAGGGCTAAGGTTAGGATTAGGGCTAGGGCTAAGGTTAGAGCTAGTGTTAGGGTTGTGTCTAGCGTTGGTTTTGTGTGAAGTTTTAGGCTAAGTTGGATGCTTAGGTTTTGGTCTTTTTCTGAAGGTTTGGATTAAAATAGTATATAGGTATAGAATTCTAGTTAGAGTTAGGATTCTAACTTGAGAGGAGGGGGGTAATTCCCCGGTTGGGTAATTGACAGGGGGGGGGGGGATTTCCAGGGGGGGGGGGGTAATGTCCTGTAGCCGTTTTCAAAACCTACCCTCAACCTCTCTCCTTGAAGTCTTTTAAACTGGAAGTAATTTTGTCCTTATTACACAACATAACAGTGCAGTAAAGAGTATTTTATATAGGAAATTTGAATTAATTATTTTAAAGCTAAGTAAAAGCTTGTAAAACTCCATGGATATCTTGCTACTTGACACTGCACCCTTAGAAAATTGGGAAGGAAACATCGTAGTGATTTCATTCTATCCGTGGTTATTACAAAGACCGGATGATTTCATTCACATGTGGATGCATATTACATGGATTTTTAAGAAGCGAACAGAAGCTGTGTACTGAATTTGACATGAATTTAATAAATGAAAATTTTAAACATCACATTAGTCCATACAACAATGATTAGATCCTGGTACCATAATAATATATACATATGTAACATTTTAAAAAGCAATCTGCAATAATAAAATGATTTAGAACTTTCTATAAGTTCAAGATGAAATTTTTAAAAAATCATCTCCATATGGTCAGTTGGTTTCTTCAAGTGCTAGAGATGATTTAAGTCAAGCAGGTAGAGCCAGTTAAGAGCCAACATTGGCTGTGTGGGACTGAGACTCCTCTGCTTGCAGTGTGTCATACATGTCATGCTTCCATTCTCTGTCTAAGCTTGTGTTTCTTCTATCTAGAGATCCTAGGCAAACGTTATAGACAAAGTTTAGGGAAGTGGTCAAAGGGAATTTTGCAGGATTTCTAGTGTGCATGAAAACATTTTTCACCAGTATGAAGGACAAAGTGTGTGTGTGTGAAGCTAGGTAATAAAAGTCACAAAGTAGAATGTGTACTCACTCCTATCATCCACAGAACCCAAGCCTCCCTTGTAGCCACCCCTGTAGCCCCTGCCACCTCCAGGTCCACCTCTAAACCCACTTCTGCCATTCATGCGGAAGCCACTGCTGCCAAAGCCTCTGGAAGGAAACCTGCGACCACGAGGGTGGAATGTCCTGGGTGAGATGTCCCTGTCATCATGCTGAAATAATCAGACACCCACTGAAACAACTTGTTCTCATCAAAACAAGGAAGTCAAGCATGATGTGCTCTATGGTTTGCTACATACAAAAACAATACATTCATTACTCACTTCATTTCTCCTCCTTACCTGTGTGTATTTAAAGGAGTCTAAAAATAGAGAAAAAAAACAAAAGATCGTTAATTGTATCAACATATACATGTCACAGTGACATTGTAGCTATCCAAATAATAGTAGAGACATGAACCCATTTCCAGCACCCACCATCTATGTCTGTAGGCGAGCTGATTTCCTGATCATAGAAGGGGAAGTCCCTGCCACGCCCTCTACCACGACCTCGATATCCTCCTCTCCAGCCTGAAAGAATTCAAAAGTTCAGCAGCATTAACTTTACAAATTTTAACAAACACACAGTACACAGTGTTGCTATCAAACACGGAGTACAATTGAATATTTCCTAAGGTGTATCAAACACTGAGTACAATTGAATATTTCCTATCAAACACTGAGTGCAACTGAATATTCCCTAAGGTGTTGCTATCAAACACTGAAAGAAAAAGCTTCACCTCTTGTATTAGTTGGGCTTGTGCTGTATCTAGGCCTGTGGTCAAAGCCTCTATTTCTCCCATCTCTCAAGTCATCCCTCCTCATGTCTAGTTCTGTCTTATCTGCTTCTGGGCTCCAAGCTCTCCTCCTACATTCAAAAGACATGCTGTAGTAGTAGCACAATAAAAATGTATTTGTGTTGAGTTACTGACTTGTCTAAGGAATAAATACTCACCCAAACTTTCCTCTTGTTCGGACACCACCCCTCCCTCTCCTCCTTACAGTTCGCCTGTCATTGTCCCAGCTGCTTCTAGAATCTCCTCTCTCTAGGCTACCAAATCTCCTTTGCTCTCGGTCTTGATCCACCACCACATTTCTTCCTCCATAATCAGCAAAATTCCTGGTATTTTCAACACTGGACCCTCTGTAAAAAAGTTCCGTTCCTGTGTCTAGCTCTCCACGTTGTACCTCTATTCTAAATCCAACACTAAAGCAAAGAAAAGTCTTTTGTGTGTAAAAATTGATTTTCTACAAAATATTGAAAAAGCAATAACACTAGTAAAAAAAAGTTTATGCTGGGTAAATGACTCACTCTACTCTATCATTGCGTCTCCTCTCAAGGGCTTGTCTTAAATCATAAGGTTCTGGTTTGCCTCTTTCATTTCTCTCTCCTCTTCTATCTTCTGTTCTCTTTGCTTCTCTGTTCTCACTTTTGTTGACCCTCTTCTCTGTAGTTCCAGTTTGATCTGTATCTCTCCTTTTTTTACCCTCCTCTCTCTCAAGCTGTTCCCTAAATTTAGATTCATACCTTGGGTCTGGTCTAGGATCAAGTCTGAGAAAAGTAACATTGGTTTGGATAAAAATGAGCTCAAATTGTTTTTGTTCATGAGCTGAAAAATATAAAAAATGCATGAGATACAATAATGCCTAGTCAAATATTAAGACAATTCCAGAAAAGGCTGAAAAAGAATGAATTGATTAGAATTTTTAAAATATCAAATACATGTTTTGATCCTGGTATTTGAGCAGTAAATAAAACCCAAACCATTAAATCAAAGAAAAAATAGACACAGATGCTTTACTTACATCATTTTAGCATGTGCTAGCCCCCTCTCTTTACACAAGGGAGTTTCTTTGTTGTGTATCCTACTTGCTAAAATCACTCAAATTCTGCATTCAAATGGTTTGCTTTTTACTACTTGTGCCAGAAACTCAATTTTATATTTTAGACAATGCCATCACCTTCATCTGTTTACCTTGTTCAAATCCACCTCCTTCACTGACTTCATTAGTGTAGGATTTAGAATTTCTCTTCTCAGACCTTCTGTTCTCATCTTTAAGCCCTTACCTGCTAGTTATCATTTTGCATTTCAGTCTGTTCATTATGATGCTTTGAGATCACTTGTAGTTAGCAGTTTTCATCTGATTTGTTTCAACATTTCTTTTAAAAAAGAGCATGACTCACATTGGACAAATCTTTCTTTGATTCCCAATTGGAAAAAATATAGTTGTAGTGAAGATCATGTGTGTACTGTACTGTATTAATAAGTATTAAATTTTCAAGAACCAAAACAATGAAAGTTGCCTGTTTTGTTTCTATTACCATGATATCATAATTGTGCATTGCACAAGAAAAGAAAATGGAGATTAAACTGCATAATGTCGCTCTTTTCCAAATTTCACTTTGGCCAATTGTGTGCACAATGTGCATGAAAACTAACCTCAAGCTGGTAAGTTGAGTTCAATCAGTTGTTTTATTCAATGTTTAATGAGAATGCTGTAGTATTCATCAATGTGACATCTAGTGATGTCAAGGGTTTTCTTAAGCCTGGAGGTCATTTGCCACAGGTTGCTACTGGTGTAGGGCCAGCACATGTCAATACTTCATGTGAGCCAACTATTGATATGACCCTAGACTATCTTGTAAGTCTCTGCTTCATACAATAAGACTGGTCTCATTTGAATGTTTCAACTAAGGTCTGTGACATTTCTCTACAAGCATTTGTTCTTGAGTTGAGAGAAGATAGCTCTTGTTTTTCAAATCCATAATTTTTTCTACCCTGTAGGTCAAGGTTTCTGACAAGCTGTATGAAGTCCTCGTCATTTGCATTCCTAATTAGTGCAATTTTTAAAGTCTTGCTCCCTTTTTGTGGATGCTGAGCTCATTCTGTGATATATCAGCTCCTTCTGCATACTGTTAGCTTTGATAAGCCTTCTACGAAGTCTAGGACATCAATCCACTGGTGGAGGTCTTCAAGGCAAAGGGGAAGAAAAGTGGCAGCAACTAGCATCTATTTTACTATGATACAGATCTAGAAGCCATTTCTAAACTACCCTTAGGTGCTACTTGGTGAGACAAATCAAAATGCTTTACAGATTCATTGACTGCAAGCTTGAATACTTCTGATCCAATTATATAACAGTAACTATGGATAAATGGAAGTTTTCTTGCTCTGTAGCGTGATGCTTTCAACAAAGAATCAGATTTTGAAAATGCAATCTCTTAAGATATGGTGCAGTTAGTCCTGACATCAATCACAAGTAGTAGGAGTTACTTTAAAGCCTTGTTGTATGTATCAAGTGTTTCCCAGGTTGATGTGTCTATCAGTATCCCTCTCAGAGCAGTAAAAATCACATCTGTAATAGGAGTTGCAAGTGGAAATATATTCATGTGACATGGCAGTCAACATTTTAGCTTCAGCTTTAAAGTTGAATCAAATGTAAAAGGTTCAAACATTTTCTCATGTTTCCATCATTTGCTGCCTGTGATGATTTAATCAAAATAACATTTTCAACAGTGGTGATTTGATCTTTCAACTGCATTATAGTTTTAGGCAAATTGTATGGCGGGTCTTCACCTTCCATCAACTGGATTTTGTTTATTATAAAACTATAGTTACCATTCTAGAAGCTTCACAAAATATTTTTCTTGATTTGTTTCAGGCTCTAGGTTGTAAAGTATGACTATCAGCTGAATACTTTGAATTGGATTATGTGTGTACAGCAGCCAATAAATATGAAACAAATACATCCTAAAACCTAATACTTCCTATCAATTTTAAATCAATTTATATTTAATTATCAATGTAAATGAAGGGATTCAACTGACCATCTAATTTTATGTGAAAAAAAAGCAATGCTCATAGTCATGACAAAATAACCCAGAGAAAAGCCTATTATTATTTTTTTTTCTTTCTAGGGATACATGAATTGAACTTTAAAAAAAAACTACTCCTTAATTTTAAATCAGTAAAAGCCCTAACTATAAATAGAATGTTATCACGTAATCTGCTTTTTGCTATAATCAGATCCAATGTTAACAGTGAAGATTCTTTATTTCAGATATTTTATCTGAACTTTGAAGACAGCAATGATTCTTTCTATCCGTTGTTTATCCAAACCATTGTTGATAGCTCAAATTATTTCCTGCATCAACTTGATCAGGTCCAATGTTGACAGTGACGATTCTTTCTTGCTTCAACTTAATCAGATTCATTGTTGATATTGATAGTTATTTCTTGTATCAACAATGAGATCCAATGATTCTTTCTTGCATCAACTTAACCCCTTTACCGTGTGTCACGAGTTAACTCGTCATATAAAATCTTGTGCTTAACCGTACATCACGAGTTAACTCGTCTTCAGATAAAAAAGTCGTCTGTGTGCTGTGCGTCCTGAGTTAACTCGTCTTGATGCGAAAATAGCATTGGAAATCAATAACAATGTAGAGGGAGGCTAATCTAACAGCCAATTCCACAACGGATGATAAAAATAGGTCATCACGTGATGTGAAAACGAAAGTGGAAAAAAAAATATTATACGGTTTCCAAAAAAAAAAAAAAAATTTCCACGGTAAAGGGGTTAATCAGAAACATTGTTGATATTGATAATTATTTCTTGTATCAACAATGAGATCCAATGATTCTTTCTTGTACCAACTTAAGACCCATTGTTGATAGTGATATTTCTTTCTTGTATCAATATAATCCATAATAAGATCCAATGTTGACAGTGATGATTCTTTCTTGTATCACCTAAATCAGATCCATTGTTGACAGTGATGATTCTTTCTTGTATCTACTGAATCCATAATCAGCTACAATGTTGACACTACAGTGATGATTCTTTCTTTGTTTCAACTGAATCAGATCCAATGTTGAGAGTGATGATTCTTTCTTGTATCAACTTAAGATCTAATGTTGACAATGATGATTCTTTCTTGTATTAACTTAATATCCAATGTTGACAATGATGATTCTTTCTTGTATCAACATAAGATCCAATGTTGACAATGATGATTCTTTCTTGTATCAACTGAATCCATAATCAGCTACAATGTTGACACTACAGTGATGATTCTTTCTTTGTTTCAACTTAATCAGATCCAATGTTGACAATGATGATTCTTTCTTGTATCAACTGAATAAGATCCAATGTTGACAGTGATGATTCTTTCTTGTATCAGCTTAAGATCCAATGTTGACAATGATGATTCTTTCTTGTATCAACTTAATCAGATCCAATGTTGACAATGATGATTCTTTCTTGTATCAACTTAAGATCCAATGTTGACAATGATATTTCTTTCTTGTATCAGCTTAAGATCCAATGTTGACAATGATGATTCTTTCTTGTATCAACTTAAGATCCAATGTTGACAATGATGATTCTTTCTTGTATCAACTTAAGATCCAATGTTGACAATGATGATTCTTTCTTGTATCAACTTAAGATCCAATGTTGACAGTGATGATTCTTTCTTGTATCAACTGAATAAGATCCAATGTTGACAGTGATGATTCTTTCTTGTATCAACTGAATAAGATCCAATGTTGACAGTGATGATTCTTTCTTGTATCAACTGAATAAGATCCAATGTTGACAGTGATGATTCTTTCTTGTATCAACTGAATCAGATCAAATGTTAGGGGTCGGCGTGGTCGAGTCGGCAAAGCTCATGGTTGCTAATCCGAAAAGTCTCGAGTTCGAACCCACGGGCAGATGAGGCTCGTTAGCTGGGGACAGCCACTCTTCTAGGAGAGACAACTCCAAAATTAAACAACTGCTGCCTTGTAGTTTGTTCTTGGTTGGACAAAGGCTATGGAAGCAAATCCAAAAAGAAAAGCAGGCTGAAATCGGAGTCAATGGCCTCAATGGCGCATAACCAGTTGACACGTAACGCTTAATTGTGTTGGAGGCGTGGTCGAGTCGGCAAAAAGCTCATGGTTGATTAATTCGATCAAAGTTTCGAGTTCAAACCCACTGGCAGATAAATCTCGATCCCCTTCAACACTAATTATTAAGAACGAAGAAGAAGAAGATCAAATGTTGACAGTGATGATTCTTTAGTCTGATTCATCAGGTTCCATTGTTTCTTTCTGTTAACCAGATGTTATTTTTTCACCAAATCCTATTTTTTTTGCAAAAAGTTTTTTGAACTTACTTTTTAGCAACCACAAATTTTGCAACTGCCTTTCGCTTTCATTATAAACAGAACTGGCTGTAAAGTACTATTTCAAACATGGCATTTGTTATGCCATCAGAGTAACAAATGGTTATTCATTTAAAAAAGGTTTCTTTAGTAAAAATTAAATCTCAGTGGCAGACTTAAAATAACAACCTTTTTTTTTTTTTGATAATACCATCTGTTTTTAATTTTGTAATTAATGACATTAGCCATCCAGTCTGATGGTTTGTAGAATATTATCAGGAAAAAAGACTCATTTTTGTCTATCAGAATATTTTCTAAGATACCACCTGGTCCAGTGCTGCATCATCAATACTATGTGCTGAACATTATTCACCTGACTGATTTGATCTGAATGTGAAGCTTGAGTTTTCAAATAACAATTTAACATAGTATCTTCAGTGTGGCTCTGCAGCATCGTGATTTTAAGAATGTAAATCTAATATTAGAAGTAACTTATAATAAAGGATGTTACTTTTAAGACTGTTGAGTGAATCAAAGGCTAGATTACTTTAGCCAATCCTAGATTAGGAACGGTAATATCAGCTTAAGCTGTAGAAGAAGACCTTTTATCCATTCTATAGCAGCTACAAAAGCATGTGTTATCACACATTTTTATTTCCTGAATTAATAGTAGAATCCTAGGTTAGCTCAAGTATAGAACCTCCATGTTTGAAAGCAACCTTTGTTTTCATTTTGACACAAAATATTTTGTGTCAATTTCAATAATTTCTGCTTTCTGCTTGCATTTGAGGGGCAAGATTCTTTTATTGTATCATCCATATCATATGAACCTTCATACAATAGATTGTTGTGTCCATTATATTGAGCTTATAGAACATTTTGTTCCTTGCCTTAGGTCACTTGGTGTAGCAAGATTGCAGACCAATTGGTGTTAAGGCATCCCAGAATATCAAGTGCTGCTCAGGACAAACTCAGAAACAATTTACCTTATTTCAGGTTCTCTACTCCTAGATAAATGAGCATCCCTGTGGGGAGATTTACTCCTAGATCTAACACCAATTTGACGCCCAAAAGCTTTCCTGTTGAAAACAAAGCAATGTATACATAAATATAAAGGGGTACCAGAAAAAGTCATTTATTCTAGTACTACGATTTACACAGATTTCATTTGACAACAATCCAACCAAAATATGGACCAACTCACCGTATTACATCGGGAGACATTCTAGAGAGGCTGTCCGAAGAAACTTTTGGTGCAGCTGATGTAGACTTTACTCTTACCAGACGACGTTCAAAATCTGGATCATCAGCAAAATTTTCATCATGACGCCATATTTTGATTTCTTCTCTGTCAAATATTGGTTTGCGACCTTCAGTCTTTTTATGCACCATTTTGAAGAGTGTCGAGTCAAAAACTTTCTAAAAATTAGATTATCAATTCATAATTAAAAAGGTATCATCTGTTATACATTTTCACAATCAAACATGGAAAATTTTAGTAATTGAAATTCATCACAAGGATTGAGAAACCACACAAAATTGTAGAAGTAACAACTTGGATGTTGAGAAGAGAGTGAATATTTAACAAAACAGTCTCATAATAAAAAAATATTGCAATGGATTTTACCTTAACAGTTACATCCTCTGAAGGTTCAGCATTTGGATTACGTAATATTGCAATAGTTACATTCTCTTCCAACTCAAATGGCTCTTGGTCACTCAAAGTAAAACGCTTGTGCAATGTCATTCGCGCTGGCTTTTTCTTACTAGATGAACTCACTTTCCGCTCTGGAATTGAGCCACTTCTTTGGTTGAGAGGTTGGGGATCTGATCTTTTCAGACTGGATGTGTTTGGTGGGGTTTGACTACGCAGACGTTTCGGTGGAGGGCTCACTGAACTGTGGCTTTTCTTTTTCAAAGCACTTTCAGAATGTGCAGCTGAAGAGTTCTTGGTAAATTTAGGGTCATTTTTTAACCTATAGAAGTACAGTTGGAGAAGTAAAACATTTAGACTACAACAATAAACAGCATTGAACTTTTTTTTAAAATAAAGTTGCTATAAATATTGTGTGAATTATTTTTATATGATAAAAATTGAAACCTAAAACATTCAATGATAATAAGCTTTTATAAAGCTAAAGATGATAGTAAAAGTGTCCTTTGCTCAAGAAATCTTTTTGAATCATACAGTAAACAGCACATTCAACAGAACGACTTTATTTCATACATATATGCTTGGTAAAAAAGTATATCATGCCTGTCTGTTCCAGCTTTTGGTGGTGGTCTAGGAGAAAGAGATCTTTGCTGAGGTCTTTGTTGTGGTCTGAGGACTGAATTTTCTCTCTCATTCATCAATCTAGTCCCTGAGCCCATATTTGGATCTCTAGAACTTGAGAGTTGAGGATGCCTAGGAATGAGGGGACTTAAAGGACGTCCTGAAAGGAACATCAACAAAATGAACTGTATGTAGGAATAGTCCTATTAGGAATACAAACCACGCATTCAAAATATTTATTTTAAGCTACAAAAGAAGTAGTTCAATTAATTATACACACAAACAAACACCTTTTTGATTAACAAAAAATACCACAATAGTTCTTTATATTTTGATTTGCTAAACAGAAGTAATGTGAATTGTATAACCAATCAATTATCATTGGAGTAGTTCAATTACTCGAAATTACTAATTTCTTAATTATATACATAAACAAACAAATTTTCAATGAAAAATCATGCCAGACCAGCATAAGGTGATCTAGGGCGAGGTCTCTTATGGGGAGATCTACTTTTCCTTCCAATTGGAGAAGGCCCTCTGAAGTCTTTACGGCTATTAAATTTAGGTGAAGCTTTAAAATGCTTTTTCTCTCTTCTCAAAGGTGATGGAGATCTGTGCCTCATGGGTCTCCCTCCCCTGCCTCTACCACCAGGCACATCATTCTGCCAGCTTCGTTTGTGCTTGGTGGGTACTGGTGAATGAGACCTAATTAAAAAAAAAATTATCAAGCTAATCATCTGAAATTAATCAAGACAGATTTTAAATATAATTTCAAAAATAGAAATGTGGAGAAAATTTAACTCAAGACTCTAGCTGACCAGCTAGCTAGATCTAGATCTCGACTCTAAAAAATCTAGATCCTACTCAGTTAGTGTTAACAGTGTTAACACAGGGTTCATGCTCAAAAGTTCAAATAAAATTCCTGGAGTTTTCCAGGAGTTTAAAAAAATTCAAGGAGATTTTTAAAAACAAAAAAGAAACCCAATTTGTACATTTAAAAAAGCGTACTTAATAATACATTTAATTAGCTAAGCCAATGCAAAAATTTAATTTCAGTAAAAGTAAAACAATATATTAGTTACATATTAGGATAGAGGCTATCAATCTGACTATAGACCAGTTTGAATTTTCAAAATCTGACCATAAACAAAAAAGTTATGATTTTTATTGTCATTAAAAAAATAGCAGTTTTTTCAGACAACCGGGATAGACCCTGAAAGGGGAAAAATACTGGGAGGGTATGGACCAAATTTTTTTTCACTATAAAAGAGGTATAAATGCAAGCAGACTTCACCTATTAATATCATTTCGTGATATTTTATTGATTTTTGGATGCCAAATCCAATGATGCTAGGCTAGCCGACCAACCCGATGAACGTGTCAGACGAATATTATGTAATTTCAGAGACAAAAGCCTGGCAAGATTTCTTGATCTATACACAAGGATTAGTAACATCAACTCCACAAAGTGAAAGGGGAAGAGAGGTGGGGTATGAAACCACCAAGAGCTGCTCGGGTACCGTATGGGTGTTACACGACATCAAAGGCGACGATCGTTTGCTTGTCGCGTCACGGAGTAGTGGGGGCGGTGTGAGGCTATGGATGTTACGTTGGGTGTTATATACCATGTAGGATGGTCAGTGTCTTCCCCCACCCACCCCAGCCCATTTTGGTAGATTTGGCAAGCTAGTATTAAGCGTATTAACAATTTTTAGTCAACCGAAAAAAAGAGCCACTGGAAAAATTTAATTTATTTTCTATAGCCATTTTTACGAAAAATTAATGTATAAAATAAAATAATGAAATGTTACGCGAATCAGCATTGTTTGATCGGGTCGCAGCTATCCAGGTTAATTTCTAAAGAAGATTAATTTTGACGATTAGTCCTGAGCTGTAAATACTACTACAACTTTTTTTGCCGTTTCAATAGTTTAAGACAAAGTTATGAAACATGCCTGTCTACTTTAAAAATCCAATAGCCGACAAGTCAAACACGGGAACACATGTACGTGTAGGCCTATCTATCTTTAGAAATTGTTTATAGTATCATCCAATCGGGTCAATCGCCTAGCATTACGTGATCACACACTCGGCTGTGCCACACAATCACGGCAGTGCGATTCAGTCTGACGACGGCCGATGCGTTTATTTTTATTTTCGTCCCATTTAAAAACTACTATTCAATTATTGGCGGAACAAAATCAAATAATTTCGGTTGGTTTTGCGCCGCGGGTTAATGAAATTTTATGAGATTTCATGAGAATTTTTTAAATTTCAGGAGAATTCCAGGAGGTTTTTATATTTTTTTAAATTCCAGGTTTGTACGTTTTTTAAGATTCCAGAGTTTTCCAGGACCTCCTGGAATTTTCAGGAGGCTAACTGACTAACTCAACAGCAGTCATACTCATAATCACCCGTCATACTGCTACAGTACAGACACGTTGACTCAACCAACAAGTACAGTCAGTGTCAGTACGTGAGTAAAATGATAGTCTAGTAAGGTTTAGTAAAATCATTAAAAGTTAAAGTAACAACTGGTGGAACGAGAGACACACCACAACAGACAACTAAACAAAACAAGACTAGCGCTAGGCAGTAGTCTACTGTCTAGATCTAGAATCTAGCTAGTAGTACAGTAGTAGTAGTAGTAGACTTAGATCTATATCTCTAGAACTCTAGATCCTGTTAAAGTTGGTTCTTAGTACCTGCTATGTTTACGTCGATGACCTCTGTCTTGAGGCATACTTGCAATATGTATAGATCTAGATGTACTAGAATCTATACTGTACCGCTATACGTGTATATAAGAATCCGGAGTAACGACTTTAATTTTGTCTGCCCCGTTTAGCACAGTAATGGAAAAACGCATCTAGATCTAGATTTCTAGATCTACTTCCGGTGGGAAAAAAATAAAGAACAGGACTGGAAATATTTTTAACGAGCCGACCCGCGACGTATCATACGCCGATATTTAGTTGTTTTATTTTCTACTTTTCAGTCATTCATAATGTGTGAATTCGACAGTATCAACGCTACCACTGAAAATATTTGCTTTAAAACACTATCAGTAGGCCGTTAAGGACGATACCCCCCCCCAACCTCCTTTCCCCCCAACCCCAACCCCTACCCTACACCCCCCCCCCCCCCACCCCCGTGAAAGCAGCCTCCTCTTACTTACCTCCCCTAAGTTTAAAATAGAGTCCTTTCATATGACGTCACGTCCGTTCGTGATACCTACGCCCGCCGCCACAGTGGTGTACACAAGACGTAAACACAATCAGCTGTTCGCCAGCGCTGGACGTGTTCACCAGCGCTGGACGCGTTCACTGTATGTAAAGAACCGCACCCGCGGAAAAGGAAAAATACGTTAAAAAACTTGAACTCTTAGGAATTGAAGATCCTTATACTGTTATTGACAGTTTCGTATAAATAAATATGTGGACAAAATTTCTAAATAAAAATACTGTTAGTAATACTGTTTGCGTTTAGAGTTAAAGTTGCCGAATCTGATCAAATGCAGTTCTCGATACTTTGTTTCATGTAAGGACAGTAAAATAATAAACTTCATTTTAATTATAAAAGATAGCTATTAATAAAACAAATATGCTTGACCTTCACAAATACTAATAGTAAAAGACAAAGTCAAAAGTAATAGGCTAATAAGAATAATAAGATCTAATAGTAGGCCTAATACCTGGCTCCGCTGGGTAGACAGAATCTAGAATCTACTTCTTTACTTAAATTTAATTACTTTAGATATACATTCGATTCAAAATACACCCATAATAAATCAAAAGTAGTCATAATAGGCCTAATAAAGCATTTAATTGTCTCTAAGATCTAAAATCTCGCTCTATTATCTAATCATTTTTTTAGCAAACGAAATTTTCTGAAATTGAAATAGATTATATGACTAGACTTAGATCTAGAATCTGCTACTTAAATTAAATTGTAAAACTTTATACAAGCATGTAGTTGATATTATTGTAGTAGAAGGCTTTAATAAATTACTAAGGCCTACCTACTTTGTTGTCTTTTTACAGCAATATGTGTCTGATACTGGACTGAGTTTAATTAAATTCAAATTCATATCTAGTAATTGGTCTACTAAGCTTTTGTAGCCTAGTAGTACAATCTAGATCATACCAGCCAACAACAAATAACCACATTATTATTATTTGGTTAATGATTAGGCTAATTTTTTTTTTAAATCCACTGTTTATAAAAGAAAAAAATCAAGCTAGAAACATTATAAGTGAGATGGTTTAGAATAATAACAATGGACCCAGTCTACAATTGATACAATTGCAGGTCTACATAGGGCCTACAGTCTAGTAGTTTACAGTAGGCACCTAGTGTGTAGCTAGTATACTAGTGTGTAGCTGTCCAGAGTTAAGATTCTTAATGCCTTAATGCTTTCCCCTGATAAGCCGTGTGTGCTATAAATGACATAACATGACACCGAGGTGAGAAGTGTTGAGGGGAGAGCAGTGGGACTTTCCCCTTTGTTCTCCCTGCTGGGCCCTGAGGGTCAAAATTATATAAGAAATACTATCTCTGTGGTGCTGGGTATCACGGAGGTGAGACATTTTCAGGGGAGGGCAGGGCAGACTCCTCTTTGGTTTTACTGTGGGCTAGATACAGGTGGGGGCAGCCATTATGAGGGTTGAACGTCAGTATTAATGTGTCTGATCACTTCCCTGCTGGATTATAAGGGTCTTAAATTGTATAACATGCTACCCAGATTGGTTATTACCCATGGATTATATTAGCCGTTGTAGTGTGGGTTTTGTAGGAGTTAAGTGGTCTCACGTTTGCTACAGTAGATAACCTCTAATATATTACTGCATTTGATCAGCTTCGTCTACTTAAACTCTAAACGCAAACGGTATTACTAACAGTATTTTTATTTAGAAATTTCGGCCACATATTTATATTATCCACGAAACTGTCAATAACTGTATAAGGATCTTCAATTCCTAAGAGTTCAAGTTTTTTAACATATTTTTCCTTTTCCGCGGGCGCGATTCTTTACATACGGTGAACACGTCCAGCGCTGGCGAACAGCTGATTGTGTTTACGTCTGATGTACACCACTGTGGCGGCGGGCGTAGGTATCACGTGATTTAGGTCACGTGTTTGCAAGGACTCTATAGTTTCAAACTAAATTATCTGCCTCTAATAGGCGTCACTAAACCCGGCTGTACGATTGCAAACATTTAGCGTGAACCACAGCTCACAAGACCATGGGGGGGGGGGGGGGTGTTGCGATATGCCTAGAGAGGAAGAGAGGGGACTGCTAGGCGCGCTTGCAGCTTGTTTTCTAACGTCTACAAGAAGAGAATTATATATATATATATATATATATATATATATATATATATATATATATATATATATATATATATATATATATATATATATATATACAATAAGCCTAGGGCCTACTCAAAAAGTTAAAGTTATTACACCATTACAGATATATAATACATGGTGCTAGTATTTCTTACTTCATATTCCTAGTTGATTGACTACCGTTATATACCTCCTCCCTTCAACTTATGAACCACATAGTCACAAAAAGTCAGCCCTCCCCTTACCCCCCCCCCCCCCCCCCAAATGACTTCGCACTCCACCCCCTCTCTACTCCCTAATTTTTGGATTAGTCAATGTTTTTCTTTAGGGGTCATCCATAAATGACGTCACATCACAGCCTACAACTCCCCTCGGTTGAAATTTTATTAAAACATCGATATTTTTTTCCGAAATCTTGTATGAATAAATTTATATTACAATTTATTAAAAAGGTTTTCTAAAACGTGAATTAACAGCTAAAATTCGTTTTATAACATTGCTTTTTTATAATGCAAAAGTGTGACGTCACACCATCTGACACCCCCCTTCCCCCTCATTACACCGTCACAAAATTACGGACCCAACTCCCTTACGAGTATGACGTCATTTATGGACAGTGTTTCTTCCCAGAGGCGTAGCGACCCTTCCCAGCGCCCGGGGACAAACTTTTCGATTTGCACCCCCCTCAAGATTTCGATTTGCACACCCCCCCCCCTCTCAAACTTTCAATTTGCGTCCCCTCAACAATTTATTTTTCCAACCCATTTTGGCGCCCCCTAAGGTCGGCGCCCGGGGACATATGTCCCCTCCGCCCCCCCCCCCCCTCGCTACGCTACTGTTTCTTCCAGACTTTTATCTCCGGGGGGCACTTGAAATTTTCGGGGGGGGGGGGGCGATAGACTTTCTTCGGGGGGGGGGGCGGACACTGTTAAAAGTAAATATTTTCTATATAAATTATATAAATTTGATTTCGTTCGGGGGGGGGGGGGTGCGGTAGAATTTTTTTGCCATACCCCCCCCCCCAACCACATAAAATGACGTCACACCTCAGCATACAACTCGATCCCCACAAAATTGCAGTTTATGATTTTTTTAAACATCGATTTCTTTCTAAAATATTTACTGAGCTTCATCTTTGAGTAGGCCTAGATCTACATTTTAATCAGTTTTTATTGCAATTTTTTTATTGCAAGAAAAAAGTCTTTTGAAAACCACGGAATGACAGCTGAACAATACTTATTTTTAAAAATGCTAAAGTGTGTTGTCACAATTTCTGCCCCCCCCCCCCTCCCCCCATCACGAAATTCCGATTCCCTCGTAGGTGTGAACGTCCTTTATGGATGATCCCCAACCCTAACCCCAACATTACCTAACGGTTATGATCAGTTTGAAATTTTGGTTAGGCCCAGACCAACTGTGTCCATCCACATCCCTTCCCAACATGTACATGCCTACAATATTTCTTGATGGGATTATTTATGTGAAAAGTTAACAAACGATTCTATATTTTGTGACATTATTGGCATTGCACTGTGCCGTGGGCACGTGATGTGTAAGTCAGTGTGTAGTGTGTATTAATGTTTACATTTTTTGTATTGACAAGAGTGACCTCTGGTCACTGTTTTGTAACGATTGGCTAGTCAAATTTGAAACACGGATTCGAAAAGCAGACAAATACATTTCAACATTTTTACAGCACCTCGTCTGATTGGCATGTTGACGTTGAAGAATTGGTCCTGACATTTTACCAGAAAACAAGACGAAGGTAACTCTAACAGGTAAGCCAAACAATACTAAACATTAATTTAATTTTAATTAAAAAAACTTAACAAACGAGATCATACATATTTAAATAAAGGTCTGTTAATGACATGTAAATGTGTTGACCACACTGTATAATGACTATACCACTATATCATTTATAGATCTATTATACTATATGCCAAGGTAACAGAAACACATGAACTCTACTTCTTCTGCCACAATAACTGCCAGGTTTAAAATCGTAACTTTAAAAAAAAAAAAAACATGAAGTTGATAAATAGATCAATTTTATAATAATTGAAAACTAGATTTCACTAGATCTAAATTCTAGCATATTATATCAATTCTTATTGTTGAGTTTAAAAAATGTTATCAGGCAGAAGGGAAGTTGTAGGCAAATCCAATTAAAACGTGAAAAAAATTAAACAAATGTGTAAATTGTAAATTACTGTTAAGCATGTTCTAAACAGCAATTTAATACACTGATTGCTTAAAGTTGCAATAACAAAATTTGTAATGGGAAATGGGGTGGGGAGGGCAGAGTGTTGATTTAATCCTGACTTAGTGTGAGTAGATTTAAATCATAATTGCAGTGATACACTTTAAGGAATTGTATGACCAAAGTAAAACTTGTGTGGGAAATAACTAAAGAGCTTTGTCAGCTTGTGTAAATTGTAAAGTTGATTCCTTTTTTTAAAAGTTAGTTAAATTGGATAAGTGCAGAAATATTGTCCACAAAGAAGAGGCTCTCAGGGGAGGTAATTTAGGTTGAGAGG